GCGGAAGGACAGCCCGTCCTTTGACTGACTCTCCCATCCCGGGCCTGCAGCGCAGTGGCCCAAGCTAGTGCTGACTATGTTGCAATGGATGCGCCTCCTAGGATCACGGCCCTGCAGATGAGAGCCTTCGAGATTTGGGTTCGTACATTGAGTATGGACCAGATCATCATGCTGGCCGAGCGCATCGAGGACGTCTTGGCAGATAGAGAGGTAGAGATCCGTGAGCGATTGCAGGCCAGGCGTGACCGGTTGAATGCTACGCTTTCAACAGCTGCGAGCTCGTCTTCCACGCAGCAAGAAGCCCAGCCTGGTGAGCAACGTCCGAGCTCTTCGTCTCATGACCAGTCTTGGGAGTTCCTTGACCCACAGTAGTCAGAACCCCTCCTACCGGTCAGGCCGCTTGACGAAAACCATGAGTGTAAAAGAGGGTTCTGACACACTCACATGTGCTGCAGTTGTCCCTTGTCAGTGACAGCGAAACCTGTGTCAGCTCACCAAGTGCTCCACCTTCGGTCGGCTGCGGGCTCAAACTGTACGACGTTTTTCACTGCCCATGTCTGTGCTAGTTAGCATTGGAGAGAGTCACCTTGTTTGACTGTGAGTATGAAGAGAGATGCTGAAGCTGCAAACCTTGATGAGGGCACGAACCGCGAATCCAGGGCCCAATGGTTGGCAGTGATGGTCACCAATGTTCCGGTTGTGGAAGTTGTGCTCTGTAGAGTGGCGGCTACAGGAACAGTCGACGACATCAAGTTTGCGATTGCTGATGACATATGGCATCGCACCGGGCATGATGTGAGAACTTCCAGTTTTCGCTTGGAGCTGCAAGGGCGACACGTGCCCTTTAGCACGAACCTCAGTGACTTGCCTTTTACTCCCGGTGCTTGCTTGCACTTCGTTTTCCAACTCGCCCACTGACAGGACGAATACTTAGGCGGAACCTCTGAGCTTAGACGGTGCGTATGTCTCACATCCCCGACGGGGTTTTTCGTGTTCTTGCACCCAGTGAGACAGAAGACCTGCATAATGGACAGGTGATCGATTCTGTACCCTTCCTCGGAAAAAGGGCTCGAATGGAGTAACCAAGGGTAATGAATATTCGAGAAGATGAAGATACATTCCTGGATGAATTTGGGAACAAAATAAAGAGGTTGAAGTTGGGGTTTATGAGCCTTGAGATCCCAACCCCTGTAAAATGCAGTACAGCAATCTAGATGATCTTCCGTACTCTATTCGTCAGAGGCTCGGGGCTCCATCCTCACCTAACCCATCTCACTACTCACTAGTCCCTAACACCCCATCTACTGGCCCTCATAACCCTCATAACCGACAAGAACGTTTGCATTTCGGGCTGGGATTGCTGGTTAGGTTTCTGGTTTTTGACTTTTCAGAAGGCCTCGAAGTGATGCCTTTCCTGAACCTTCTCTGGAAGGAGCGATCAGGCCAAATAGCTGCCTGAAACGGCCTAGTTGTGTTTGCTTTATGTTGATGTTGGGCGTCTGCAGCAGCGCTCACCGCTTTAAGGAAGTGGCCAGTGGGACAGCCCCAGAGTTTGGTACTCGTCAAACTGCGCCCGCGCGAACAAGCCATGGCTGGGAATTGGCTGCCTGCGCTCCAGGATGTCCCCGATCGCAAAGAAAAGGTCCGCACTATTGGGTCGTGGTTAGAAAGCCATATTTGATGATTCCTGCAAGCTTTCCAATTCCAATTGAGGAGCCCGTGCCCCCAAGGTTGTGGGAGGTTTAAGTTCTCATGACTAACGCAATTCGTGGACAAGTGGGCGAAATCGGAAAGTAGATTTGCAGATACGACGCAGGGAAAGTGTCGGGCAAACATTTCAGTTTCACACCCAATATGCTATCTAGGCTCAAGGTAGGACCAAACACAGTGTAGTTGCCTACCGCCTGAGTGAAAAAGTGCGATTGTGAGTTTGGGAAAGCAAGGTTGATATTTCGCCGTGAAACATTTATGGTAGCGGAGCTGCTGACGAAAGTTAGTCGCTGAAAGGATCAGCGGATCCAGGAGAAATTGGAAAAGAGAGGTCACCGCCGTACGGGGCGGAAGTTCCAGGTGGCCCTAGAGATAAGAGAAAAGTCACCGTACGGGGCGAAAGTTCTAGGTAGACTTTGAGAAAGGAGAAAAGAGAGATTGTGAAAGATCGGCGAAGAGAAAGATTGGAAAGACAAGCCACCGTGCGGGACGGAAGTTCTAGGTGGACTTTGGAAAGAGAGGTTGTAAACGATCGTCAAAGAATTCGGTAAATTGGAGAAGCTCTTACCGGTTAAAGCTCTGAGTTTCGTAGAAGAAAATGGAGAAGAACAAGAAGAAGGGTGAGAAGTAAAAGTCGCTTTAGACGATGCGAAGAGGATCATGGAGACCGAAGAGAGAGAGCGAACCTTTGTGAAGAAGACTATCGATAAAAGATTCGAGGCGAGCTGGAAAATTCGAGAATCGTGAGGGCGTGTGCAACAAAACGCCCGGGAAAAGCCAAAGCGATTGGAAAAGGAAATCAAAGTGAGTGAGCTAGCGTAGGGCCATAGAGCTGTAATTCTCACAAGTGTTTCACAAGTTTCACAACAGCCATCAGTTGAAAATGGTAAAAAAGAGATGCGAGAAAGGCGTGGAAGCGAAGCCACAGTGGCCAATGACCCCGTGCGAGAAGAGGCGGTCAAGAGTGGCAAAGCTTTGATAAATTTGTGTTTGAAAGTGTTTGCAAAGACCAAACGAGTCGAAAAAGTTCGACAACCGTTTGGTGAGGGCGTAACAAACATTTCAGTTTCACACCCAATACGCTATCTAGGCTCAAGGTGGGGACCAAGCGCAGTGTAGTTGCCTACAGCCTGTGAGTGAGAAAGTGCGATTGTGAGTTTGGGAAGGTAAGGTTGATATTTCGCCGTAAAACTTTTAAAAGTAGAGCAGCTGGTTGGCGACCTGGAGGAGGCGCTCCGGATCCTCCAGATTATCTGGAAAGCCTTGCAGCGGCTGTTCATAGGTAGCGTAGGCTTGCATTTGTTTTTCATGTGTCGTTAGATGGGAGGAATCCTTCAAGGCCAAATCAGGCCGAGGCTTTCGTCTGGGCCCTACAGGGTAGGCCGGCGTCAAGTGCCCTCCACAGCATCGCGCAGACCGAGCTGCGACCTCCGTCCAGACCTAGTGTCGTCTGAAGTTGCCTAGTCGGACTCCTAACCCCTGCCGCAGTTCCCCGTATTTCACCCCTCCCTAAGCCGGGCGGCGGATTCACTCTGGGCGGCTCGACCACTCTCGGCTTTGCTTTTGGCGGCGGTGGAGGTGTGGCCAGTGCCGGGTGTTCCTTTGTGTTTTTGCCCTCGGCTGGGTGGGGGAGAGGGGGGTGTTCGTATCATGCTCGGCGCTCCAGGGGGCAGCCCTTCGCGTTTGTCCCTGCTTGCGGCTTTTCTTGGAGACGAGGCGGCAGTGCCCGGATGGACGCCTACCGCCTTCATCTGCTCTGGTCGCCTAGCGGGGTTTGACATCAGCTGGAGGTCGCTCCGGGAGTGAGTACTGCTCATTTTGCCGCCGCAGTGCCAGCATTGTCATCGATCGGAGAAGGTGAAGCCCTTGCGGTTGACGCCTGATGCCCGACGTATGCTCAAATGCAGCGTCAGTACGGACTTCCCTTCCTTGCGTAGGGGGCGCGATGAGACTTGCATCCCCCGATAGGTGCGTAAGGAATTGGGCTGCTCCATCAGCAGCCTGTGCTGACTGGAAGGGATACCACATGTGGTAGCGGCCGCAGAGTAAAGCCCTGGTGTTGCAAGTGGGACACTGATCCGCACACTGGGACGCAGTTCACGTCAGGCAATTCCTTGTCAAACACCTTGGCGGTCTGAAGCGATACTTTCAGGCCATTACCACTGTGGGCGCAACCGGACCCGCATTTGGCATGTGCGTCTTCATTACCTGCAATCCGACGGGCTTGTTGTTCAGAAGTAAAGCAGGTGTGGCAAGCGCCACTTCCGTCCTGACTCGAGGACTGGGCCCCCTCGTCCTGGTTACGCGTTACGCCCCCCATATGATGATGGAATTCCCTGCTGTTTTCAAATGGTCGCCTGCGCAACAGAAGGGCACATTGCCCACGATGCCTACCTATGAGGAGCCTTTTTTGATCACGATTTCGATGTCTTACATGGGACCCTTAACCATGTATTTTCCTTGTGAAGATTTCTTGTGGTGGGATGTTTTGTTTTGCCCAGAAGCTTTACAGTCATGTCTCATGTCATGTGCCGATGCAGCTGTGCTCGTGAGTATCAAAAGTTTTCATGGTAGCGGAGCGCTTGTGATCCAGCCTTTGGGGCCTCGGATTCACTTGTGCTCAGGGAGGCAGGACCCTTACCTCCCGGGGTCAGGACCCAAACCCCATTAGTTGCTGCCGTAGTTTCCAGCCATAGCCTTCGTTTGCCTTGCCGAAGAAGGCTAGGCGGTTGCCAGCCTAATCTCCTCGAGACTCGTGTTGTCACCTACCAGCCACGGAGGTGTCACCAGAACTTGAGGAGCAGATCCAGTGTTTTCAGCTTTGGGACGACGAAAGAGTGTTAGATAAGCTTCGCAAAACTGTTCTTGAGTGGTACATCGAGCTTCAGTGTGGCAAGCCTTGCACTCCGTCCTTGAGCATCCTGAGCTTCGAACGTCGACAGTTGCAGAGGCGGAAGGAGAAGAAAACCGAACTGAAAGGGATCCAGAACGCGCCAGAGATTATTGCTTACGGTTGCAAGTTGTTGAGTGGTGAGCGAGCCCTGCTTGAAGCATACCTTGCAGCAGTCCGTTCTCACTTTTGAGCCTAAGAAAATCTTGCGTGAGAGAAATTTCCAAGCATCGTCCTCCAGTTTCAGCAGAAACCTTGGTCCGTCTGGAGTGGAGTTTCAGTTATCCACTGATCCAGCATCGTCATCCAGTTTCAGCAGAAACCTTGGTCCGTCTGGAGTGGAGTACGATCTAGATAGTGACACGAGCATTGCATCCGAGACTTCCTTAGATTGGGAGTGATGACCGACGGGAATGGAGCTGGGCCACATCCGCTAGCAAGCCCAGCACTCAGCCCTGTCCACAGCCCAACCGGCAGCGCCGGTCCAACAGATGGTGAGACTCGCCTTTTGGAGATTCTTGCAGGAATGCAGCAGAACCAGCAGGTGTTGACCGAGCTTCTGAGGAGCCAGTCCGAATCCCGCGCAGCAGCAGCCGCTGCGACCACATCCTACTCAGGTCTAGCGGCCAAAGACCTGAGCAAGGTGTTGAGGCATCCTTCAACCTTTTCTTGTCAGACCCGAGATGAGGAGCTGATCAAGTGGCCAGCATGGTCTTGGGAGTTTGAGCAGTATTTGGGGACCTTAGATAAGGAGTTTCAGGTGGACTTCACTCGCTTGAAATCGAATCCGAAAACTGAAGTTCTCCCTGCACAGCTGAGCGCCACTGAGCTCGACAGGTCACGCATCATGTATGGCCTGCTTGCATCGCTTTTGAACGACCGTCTGAAGCGTCTTCTTAAGACTGTGTCTGACAATAACGGGTACGAAGCATACCGCTTGATCTCGCTTGACCTTCGCCCTTCATCCCGCACCAGAGCCTTGGCCCTCATGCAGACAATCCACAATTGGCCTGTGTTCGACAACAAGCAAGGCCTCCTGACTCAGGTTGTTAGGCTTGAGCAGGCGATGGCAGAGTATGACTCGATTGCATCACAGGCCATGTCCGATGATCAGAAGGTTGTTTCGCTTCTGAGATGTTTAACAGGCCAACTTCGTCAGCATGTGAACTTGACCATGGAAGACTCCTGGACATATGCCGAGTTGCGAAGTTTGGTTGCTCGATATGATGCTTCTTCGTCAAAGTGGAGTGCGTCTGTTGCAGCGACTTATGGCCTGTCAGAGGGCAAAGGTGGTGTGCTTGTGAATGCGCCTGCAGCATCCAGTGAAGCCGTTCCAATGGAAATCGACCGCCTTCAAAAGGAGATTGATAGGCTAAGCAAAGGCAAGACTAAGAAGGGTGATAAGGGAGATAAAGGTGGTAAGAAGGGCAGATATGACAAGGGTAAGAAGGGTAAGGGTGATGGTAAGAAAGGGGATGGTAAGTCCAGGCCTCCGCCCAGCACAAACCCTAACCCTGCCGCAAACAAAACTTGTCATAATTGTGGCCGAAAGGGTCACTTTGCCCGAGACTGCCGATCCAAGCGAGTCAGACAGGTTGAAGACGCCGCTGTTGCTGATAACAGCGCTGCACATGCTGACACAGCCGTGTCAGCTGCCCCTGCCAAGGCGAAACCTGCTGCAAAGCCCAGGTGAGACGAGTCACCTACAACCTCGATGACTTTGATGAGTCAGCCGGAGGTGAGATCCGCATGGTGTCAGGTTGTGATTCTTGTGTGGAGAGCCAAGACGAAGTAGACAGGCAAAGCAAGGGAGCTTCGGGTTTCTTTTGCAAAGCGCTGAGCATCTTTTCACGTTGTGTGCCATCGAGGTGGTGCGTTTTCCACAATGCATTGCCGAGTGATGCACAGAGCGAGGCTGAGCACGCTTCGGGCGTGTGTCAGCGTGATGTGGTTGAGCACACTTCGGGTGTGACCTCGACCAGTGGATCAGTGCGCATGGTCCAGCAGAATGCCGAGCATGGCATGGAGATCGAAGTCATAATTGACTCAGGTGCTGACGCCTCTTGTCTACCGCAAAACCTCAGCATGCTTGGAGTTTCCTCTGGAAGGCCATGGGAAGGTTTTCAAGATGCCCAGGGGAATCAGCTGCTAGTTCACGGGACTAGGCGAGCTGAGTTGCGCTTCGGTGATCAGCCTGGATTCACCGAAACGTTCTTGGTTGCTCCCCACATCACCACACCTCTTCTCGCAATTGGGAAGTTGTACCGCGCCGGATTCAGCATGGTGAACAAAAATGGAAACATGAGTCTTTGCAGCCCTAACGGAGAGATCCAGATCCCATTGCATTTCAGGCAGAATAGCCTTGCTGCACGATTGCATGTGCGTATGATCCAGCAGGATGCATCCCGTGTCCGTGCTGTGAAGTGCACTGTCGCTGATTTGGCTCTTCCTGATTACTTTGTGCAGATCAGTGAAGATGTTTTCGGCATGCGTGGATTTGGAAACCGGTTCGTTGACATCACGATGGCGTTGCCTCATGAGGGTTGCAGCTTCAGGAGCACTGTTGCCAAGTGCCCCGAACCCAATCAGTGGGAGATTCTTGAGTGGTGCGAGAGCATCGTTGATGCTTCCGATCTGAGTGGACCTTTGCCTGAGAATGCCACCCGTGAGTTGATCGTGTTCGCCACTCGCAAGATTGTTTCCCCAGATGAGCTTGGGTTGACAGTTGCAAGTGACTCAGCCGAGTCAAGCAGACCTCATGTGTTGCCACCACCACCTGAAGAGCCTGAAAATATGGACCAGGATGAGCCACAACAGCATGCAGCCGTTGCACCCGATCCCGGGGCCGAGCTGCAAGTTGATGCAGCCCTGCGTGACGAGGTTGCAGCAGATGATGATGGGACACTCGTCGTTGACGGTGTGTCGTTGAGCCTTGAATCGACCCTTGCTGTTTTGAGGCAAGCTGCTCAGTCACTTGGGCTTGGCCGATCCGGTGGTAAGTCCACTATGCTGAAGCGCATTAGAGATCACTTAGCCCGCCAGGACTTGATTGCTGCCCATCAGGCCCGGCAGCAGCTTGCTGCTGCTGAAGAACGTGTGCCAGTGGAGCAGAAACATGTTACAGCACCAAGTGAGGATGCATACCGCCAACACTGCCTGACCCACACACCCTACAAAGAGTGGTGTGCTCACTGTGTTGCCTTCCGTGCACGGTCCGACAGGCATGAGGCCAAGACCGAAGACCATCGTGCAAGTTCCGTCTTGTGCTTTGATTTTGCGTATACCAGTAGGGTTGATGGGGGTGACAAGTTGTGCTGCCTGGTTGCATACGACACGCAGACTAAGTGGTTGCAGGCATGGCCGGTGCCGAGCAAAGGTGGAACTGCTTGCCGTAACTACATGGCAGTTGAGCTGACCAAGCTGCTGTCGTACCTTGGGCACAGACGAATCACCCTTCGTGCCGACCCAGAGGGGTCATGCACTGCGCTTGCGAATGCAGTCCAGGCACTTAGGCACCGCATTGGCATGGAGACCCACATTGAACAAACCCCAGTGGGGGAGCACCAAGGCAACCATGCAGAGGGTGCCATTGAGCGCATCAGACAACTCGCAGGGACAATGCTCTCTGAGCTCGAGGGCAGATTGAACATCAAGATCAAGACTTTCGACCCGTTGCATCACTGGTGTTGGCGTCATGCCAGCTGGACCCTTCAACGGTTTGGTGTCACGCAAAACCTCACACCATGGGAGAGAGTGCATGCATCACCATATGGAGGCAAACTAGTCCGGTTTGCAGAATGTCCTAGCACGTGTGAAGACTGCTACAAAGGGCAAACCTCGGTGGCTTCGGGCCATGTGGTTGGGGAAGTCAGATGTTTCTGATTGTCACCTTGTTTGCACTTCATCAGGTCGCCTTGTCGTCGCCAGATCAGTCCGTCGAACCACATGTGAGTATGATCCCAGCCTCTTGCCTGCATTGCGAGACACACCTGACAAGCATGTGTCATTCCTTGCTGGACGTGTCGGAGCAAGTCGCAACCAACTTGCCCCAAAGCCAGTCACGGAGGAAGGCCCCGGCAGTGGGAGCGAGGTTGCAGCCAGCGACCCGCCAACAGAGAATGAAGATGTCTTCGACAATCCCCATGACATTGCCCTCGCCCCTTCTTCTGTGAGATTGCCAGCCGATGGCATGCCTGCGACTCCCGATTATCGACCTCCTGCCCAGGAACCATCACAACCTTCCAGACTTCCACCACGATCAGCGCCTCCTGAGAGCGCACTGGCCACAGGAGAGCCCAAGCCGTGTCAGGCACTGACCCCAAACCCTAGTCTTAAGAGTGCCGCGTCCTGCAACCGTTGAGACCATCTTGAAGAATTGTTTCTGTGAGTTTTTTGTGAGAAGTCTGTGAGTGCAGTCTGTGAGTTTTCTGTGAGCGGGATAGGCTTGTGAGAAGTCTGTGAGTGGAGTCTGTGAGTTTTCTGTGAGCGGGATAGTCTTGTGAGTCGTCTGTGAGTGGAGTCTGTGAGTTTTCTGTGAGTGGAATAGGGCTCGTGAGTCGGCTGTGAGTGGAATCGAGTGGAATCTGTGAGTTTTCTTTCAGTGGAAGAGGCCTGGTGAGTTTTGCGCGAGTGGAATCTGTGAATTGTCAGTTAGCTGTGAGCGGAAGTCCACCAGTGACTTTGCTGCGAATGGAAGTTTTCTGTGGGCGAAGTTTTTCTTGTGCGCAAGGCCTTTCGCGAAGAGAAGTAACCTTCAGACAGGCTTCTATACGCAACTCCCTATTCTCATTTTCTAAGTAATACTGAGTGTGCTACTGACGCTTCAGCTGTCTGAATGTGACATGATGCTGGACGTTGGTCAGGCGGGCAGGGGAGTTGGGGCACTTAGGGGCAGACACGCGAGCTTGGGTTGGGGAGAAATTGCGGCTTGCGAGCATCTATGTCTACAGTCTACAGTCTAGATGTCGGGTCAGCGGCCGTCGCTTCTTCAGAATTTATAGCCCTGACAGGAGCCTAGTCCTACAGGATTCAGAGCACCAGAACGTTCTCACAGGATCACAGGCTTCTCACAGACAGGTGCACAGGGGCACAGGGTTCTCACAGGGTTCTCACAGGAGAGGATTCTCACAGGCTTCTCACAGGCTTCTCACAGGCTTCTCACAGGCTTCTCACAGGAGGCTTCTCACAGGCTTCTCACAGGCTTCTCACAGGCTTCTCACAGGCTTCTCACAGGATTCTCACAGGCTTCTCACAGGCTTCTCACAGGCTTCTCACAGGCTTCTCACAGGATTCTCACAGGCTTCTCACAGGCTTCTCACAGGCTTCTCACAGGCTTCTCACAGGCTTCTCACAGGATTCTCACAGGCTTCTCACAGGCTTCTCACAGCAGTTCTACTTGGGATTCTACTGATTTTCCTATCCTCTCTGGAATTGCTCTCGGATTCCTGCAGGTCCGCTGCCGTTACGCCGTAGGAGGCTGCTGTGAGAATCCTGTGAGAGTTCTGCAGGTCCACGGTCTGCTTCGGTGAGGTCCTGTGAGAATCCTGTGAGAGTCCTGCAGATCCACTCTCTGCGTCGGTAAGCTCCTGTGAGAATTTTGTGAGAGTTCTGCAGCAGGGCCACTGCGGGCTGCGGGTTCTCTGAGAAACCTGCGAGAGTTATGCGTTATGCAGGGCTTCTGAGAATTCTTGTCGCAAGGCTCGTAAGGTCTTTTATAGAGATGGAGAGGTGCTGGAGAAGAGAAAGAGGCGAGAAGGCAGAAGAAAGAGAAAGAGAGAGAGAGAGAGATAGAGTCAGATAGTCAGATAGAGAAAAGAGAGAGGAAGAGAGAGAAGGGAAAGAAAAGATAGATAGATAGAGCCAGAGGAGAGGGAATACACCGATTCTCTCTCGATCTCGCAGACCTCGCCCACAGAATTCTCACAGGGGGTTGGCAAACTAGACCTAAACGACTTAAACTTCATTCTCTCACAAGCGCCTGCCCTTTCACACATATCTCACAGACCTCGCTCACAGAATTTTCACAGGTCTCTCACAAAATCTCACAGAACTCACTCAGAGGATTCTCACAGGTGCCTGACTCTCACAGAAATCTCACAAAACTCACTCACAGGATTCTCACAGGTGCTTGACTCTCACAGAAATCTCACAGAAACCACTCACAGAATTCTCACAGGGGTTCAGTCAGAAATAATTATTTAGCTCATCCCAATGGTTGCAGGCCAGGGGCACTCTTAACCCTAGTCTGGGTGTAGGCCTTAACCCCGGTCAGCCGACCACCCCGGTTGATGAAATAGGGGGACTAGAAGGTTTAGACAGTGCCATGGCTGAACTTGAACAGGTTCATGAAAGAGCTGAACTTGATGGTGATGTTCAGGAAGCAAAGCGCCAGAGGATCCGGGCAGTGAATTCCCATCACCACAACGATGAAGTCGTCCACTTAGAAGACCTAGGCCTTGGGTCAGACACTGACCTCAACGAGTCAGTTGAGGATCCGCCTGCTTGGAATGCAACCGACAATTTCGAAGATGCCAAGAACATCCCTGAAGAGTTGTGGAGGCCTTTTGGGGCCGGTGAGCCTCAGCTGTCAAGTGAAGAATTGGTCCACATTGACGACATAGCTGAAGCATTCGAGTTAGCCCGACTTGAAACCATGAATGTTCTTGAAAGGCTACCTGCCACAGCTGACTTCAGCGGGTTTAAGCGTCTAAGCACAAAAATGGTCAAAACTTGGAGAGTGAAACCGTCGCCGAAAGGAGGTGGAGAAGCTTTCCTTCGTCGGGCCCGTTTTGTCGCCCGTGAGTTCAGGTGGCTCAGTGCCATGGTGGACAACGAGGTGTTTGCACCTGCATCGTCGAATGCACTTCTTCGTGTGCTGCCAGCTGCGCTTGTTGCACGTCAGCCTGAGGGCTGGACAGCCCTATCTTTGGACGTTGCAGATGCTTATCTGACGGTTCCGCAAGCCGTCGATACCATCGTTACCATATGGGTGAGAGGTGAGCAAAGATACTACAAGCTACTCCGAAACCTCCCAGGCCAACGCTCAGGAGCCAAGGATTGGTTCCAAGCGTTTCAAGCACACCTGATAAAGGAAATGGCCATTGAACCGCTGGTGGAAGCCCCAGCACTGTTCTCCATTCCTGGTGGTTCAGATGAGGGCCATGGCGGGGGAGGCGGGGGTCTTTGCCACGTTGATGATCTTTTTGCAGTCGGGTCCGATCCGACCATGCAGAGACTCAGTGAGTGTGTGAAGTCCAGGTATCGCTGCACAATTTCCTTTTTGAGACAACCCGATGACGAGGTCAGTTTCTTAAAACGGAGACACAGATGGGTCAAGGGTGATGTTTTCTGCATTAGCCCAAACCCTAAGCACGTCGTAGATCTTGCAAGAATCCTTGGCGTCGCCGCACAGCGCCCAAAGGACAGTCCTTTACCAACAGGCACGCTTCCTTTATGGACACAGCTAACGCCACTTGATGAGGAGAAGTCAGGAATCTACAGAAAGTGCATTGGGGTGCTGCTTTATGTGTCAAGCGATTATCCTGCTGCACAGTATGCAATAAAGACATTGAGTAGCATGTGTGGGAGTCCCAATGAGGGATCATGGCGGTGCCTGCGCCACCTGGTGAACTACATGTTCTTCCACGAGAATCACGTCACTTGCCTTCGGACTGAGGGCAAAGGCATCGGCCTGGTTGTCCGAGATGACACCCACACCTTGGAGGTGTTCGCTGATGCTGATTGGTCAGGGAACAAATCAACACGAAAGAGCACCAGTGCCGGATGCATAGCCTTCGATGGGATGGTGATTCACACCTTTTCCAGAAGCCAGAGCTGCGTGAGTTTAAGCAGTGGAGAGAGTGAATATATCGCATGCGTGAGTGCTACATGCGACGGCATCCTCCTTCGCAGTGCCCTGCAGCACATCATGCGTGTTGATGTGTCCATGCACCTGTTCACAGATTCCAGCGCAGCTCGGGGGATCATGGGAAGGCAGGGATGCGGACGTCTTCGCCATATCTCCGGACGCTTGTTATGGTTGCAGGATTTCTTGTTCAAGTGGAAGAAAGCGTCGTTACACGCAGTACCGACCCTGACAAATCCTGCTGATCTGTTTACAAAGTCCTTGACAGGAGCCCGTGTCCGTACCTTGAGCCACATCCTTGGAATCCGTGATTCACACGATGGATTTTCATTGGTCGGGACAACTGAGTTTGAGGAACTACAACGCCGTGAGCAGGCAAAGAAGTTTCTTCGTGCTGTGAGGAGCACAGGTCGAGGGAATGCCGAGGTGTTGCATCTTCTTGCATTGCTGGTTCAGGTCGTGGGTAACAAGGCTGCGGATGATGAGGACCGAGCACAGTTTGTGCCTGACTCGCCCGCATCAGCAGGCGAGGATGCATACCCATGGACCAGCTTTGCCTTCGTTGTCACCTTGACAGTGTGCATCGCATTCATGCTTGGCCGTGCCAGCGCCAACACGAACTTTGCATCCCTTTTGGAGTGGCCCTTAGTTAGGTGGGTACGTAGTTGGTTTAGGCTTGAAGCAACAGAGGCTGAGCAACCATTGCTAGCCGAAGCACCTGCTCTTGCAGAGAACCTTGACACCACATCAGAAAGCAGCCGTGAAAGTCTAGGCTTACAACATTATTCGCCACGAACTCGTGCAGAAATCCTCGGTCGATCGCCGCCTGCGACACCGAGTGACTCTGAACACGAATCTGAGCAGCCAGACTCAGAACCAGAAGATGACGATGACGACGTGTATCCTGGAGGCCATGGACCAGCCTACCAAAACCAGGCAGAGCTGGTTGCACTTTATGAGATGGTTGGTGAAGCAGCAGCCATCGATGTGATGCCAGCCATGCAGCTGATCCCTGCAGGTCAGCCAGCAGAAGTGCAGCAGCCACTGCTACAGGATGATGACATCCTTCAGGTGAGGGAGGATGCTGAGGTATGGATTGCCCCAGTGAGTGGGACCCGCTTTCATCTCATTGGGGAATGCGATGGTTTGATGAGGGCGCGATATGTTCGCAGGCTGCTATATCGCCAGTTGCAGCTTGAGTTTCCTGGTCAGTACAGCATGTGTCAGTTATGCCAGCTTTGGGCCAGAGAGCTCGGGCGTCGCCAGGACATTGCCCGCTTGGCTGCCATGTTCCACATCCTTCATGTGGGTGGTCAGCAGATCCCAAATCCAGTGCCTCAGAACCTTCCGGAGCCAGAACCGCGCGATGATACGTGAAAATGAGCCCAATCACGATGACCGACAACTTTTCGTTGCATGTGTGTTTAAATGAACCCGAATTTGATAGAAGCAATTTCTTGAAATGCTCATGATGCCTCTTGTGGATGCAGTCACTGGCTGGTACCACTGTACCCGAGCTTGTGTGCAATTTTCTTGAATTGCATTGGATCACCTTCAATCTTTAAGAGATTGACAACTTTTGCATGTGGCCGGCAACCTCTCCTTTACCCATCACAGCCATGTGATGCCGATACTCTTGCAGCTTGCGGAGCTGGCAAGCAGACTCGCTTGGAGCCTCAGAGCTCACAAGGTGCCCAAAGGTCAAAGGTTAGGAGGTGCCCGTAGGCCTGTACAAAGCCCACCAAAACGGTGGCGGCCCTGGAGTGCGGTATGTCCGCCCACGGCAGCAAAGGACAAACCGAGTGTTGCTCTGCACTTGTTGATATGAGGCTTGTTGGCTGTCTTGCTCTGGGCATGTATAGCAGTAGTTCCCACCAAAATCGTTCTGAAAGCCTGCTTTGCGAAACGCTGCAAATCATCCTTTGGCGGGGTGATCACGATTTCGATGTCTTACATGGGACCCTTAACCATGTATTTTCCTTGTGAAGATTTCTTGTGGTGGGATGTTTTGTTTTGCCCAGAAGCTTTACAGTCATGTCTCATGTCATGTGCCGATGCAGCTGTGCTCGTGAGTATCAAAAGTTTTCATTTTTTGGGGAACGGACGGCAAGGTTGCCACAACCCCCAGCAAACACGTGTTCAGGGAGCAACCCATGCCTCATTTTGTGTGCAAACAGCGCAAAGTAGGTATTGATCTCTTTGCTACTCCCCCGGCTACCCATGCCTGGGCCATTCAGGTCAGGTGGCAAGATACAACGCGTGTCCTTTTCAGGGAGCAGAGCATCGAGGCTCCGTGTCTGACCTTCAAAGTGCGGGCGCTCCCGCGCGCGATTTACCTCATATCCTACCAGTCCTAGCACGCTCTTGCAGCCCGCAGCCCGCCCTTGTGATGAAGGTGACGGCACGCTTTGGGAGGAAAATCCGGGGACGTGTCGGACAGGCAGAAAAGACAAGCGACATCGGGTAGACCCAGCCACCAGCCCTAACCTGATTGGTTCATCCCGCTCACCCCGCCCAGTCAGCTCAGCCTGGGGGAGGGCCACCTAGCCACACCGTTCGGTCTATCGGGTTGGTGCGGGAGCTTCCACTTGCCGATGCCAGCCACAACCTGCGCCTGGCTAAACGGCACTGTCTCCCCACAAGGAAGCGACAGATCCTCAGACCAGAACTCCTCCTATTTCACCCAGCAGAGAAGTTTCTAGTCGGTCTCCAGGTGCGGTCCGTCACTGTCCATCGCCTGCGCCGAAGCCACCTCCGCCCCCGCCCCCTCGGACGAGGGAAGCGCCGCACTCCTGCGCCGCGCCCCCGAGACCATTGGGCAATCAGCCACTTCTGCAGGCCCCGCTGAAGCCCACGAGGAGCGGAGGCTGTGCCAACGGTTTCCCACTCATGCCGAGACTTGCTTTGGCAGGCTCTGGAGCTTGGTAGGTGGCGGCCTACAAACGTATGTCGAGTTCATGGAAGGTCTCAATGAAAGCCGTTTGGAGGGTAGATCTGCCCTGTTGGACCTGGCCGAGCGTTTGCTCTATCTCCCAGACGATTTTCCGTCAGCCCACTTACAGGTAGAGGTCCCCTTGATCAATACCTGCTTGACGATGGCGTCAGCTTTGGAGCACCTCCCCAACTATGAAAACGTTGGCCTGGCCCTGTCTGTTGCTGAAATGCAGGAGGCGGTCATGGGCTTTGGGTTGCTGAACAAAGTGCAGGCTTTTTGCAGGCTGTCCACCTCCTTCCGTCTGTCCAAAGCGCCAACTTCCCAACCATGCTGTGCTATGCTGACCCTGATCACTAGTTAGACGGCCTGCTCCAGGCGTTTGAGACTCATATCACCTGTCAGCAAGACAGAGCTGCGTCCTTACGAGTCGTCTTGATTTCACCGGGTCGGGAAAAGGTGCTGACAGAGGACAAGACATCATACCCCATCAAGCCAGGTTCAGGGTTAGGGTTCAACTTTGTTACAACTTTTTTGGCCCCAGGCTGTATCTAGTTGAACTCCAACCCAGGCTAGAGGAGAGTTCAGCCAAACTCGAAGATAGAAGTTGGGGAAAACTCCAACTTTCGAACTTTATGTTGGAGTTCTGTTAAACCCAACTCCAACCTGGGTTAGAGTTCAGGTTAACTTCAATCCAAACCTGAGGTTAGGTGGGGTTACCTTTCCCTTAACCTGGGTTGAGGTTGCCCCCCCCCCCCTCCGGCCTGGAATCGGATCCAAGGTTGTGAAACGTAGAGAAGTTATTGAAATTTAGAAAAGAGAGAATTCGTCTAAATCCATCCTTTTCGTTTCTTGGTTTTATTTTGTGCTCATGATTCGAAAATCAGAGAAGTGGAGAGTAAGTATCCCTCATTTCTCGTTTTTTGTTTCTTGTGTTCATTCTTCGAAAATCAGAGGATAAAGAATTAATCTAAACTCCACCCCCCGTTTCTTGGTTTGTTTCTTGTGTTCATTGTTCGAAAACAAGGCAGAAGTCGAGAAAAGCAGAAATTTTATCCCTCCTCGTTTCTTGGTTTTTGTTCTTGTATTTATTTCGAAAAGCAGAGAATGAGTAGAGAAGAAATTCGAAAATCAGAGAAGCAGAAAATTCATCTATATAGGTTCCACCCGCCTCGTTTCTTGATTCTCTTTGTGATCATCATTCGAGAATCAGAGAAGAGAGTAAGTATCCCTTCGTTCATCGTTTCTTGTTTCGTGTGTTCATTCTTCGAAGATCAGAGGAGCAGGGAATTAATCTAAATTCCACTCCTTGGTTTGTCTTGTGTTCATTGTTCGAAGGTAGACTTACTGTACATTCCACCCTCATTGCGCTCAGCTCCAGAGGTGGCAATTTGGCCAAGCCAATGAGAGTCTTAACCTGGAACGAGGGGCACCTCGGACAGCAGCAATGGGCCGAATTGCACACATGGCTCCGCGCTGCTTCAGGTCAGTACTATGTTGTTGCTTTGCAAGAGACTCACTGGCAGGATGCCACGGAGTTTGATGTGGAGGGGTGGCACTGCATATCCTCGGCACACAAAGGCAAGGCCAGAGCGCCCAAGTCCAAAAGCCGTGCATCTAATCAGCGTGCGGAGGCTGACTCGACTCCAGCCTGCAACACATGATGACAAAAGGGCAGATGGTGTTATGCTTCTCGTTGCCCCCCACATTGCCAAGGCAACCATCAGGTGGCGAGAGTATAGGGGCCGAGTCTTGGAGGCAGTCTTCCAGTGGAAGGGAGCACGAATACACGTGGTCTCCGTCTACCAGCATGTGTGGTCTACTGCAAAGACCTCTCAGCAGAACCAAGAGGTCAGAGCCACATGCTTGGAAGCAGTCCTTCGGGCAATCAGGAGTGTCCCATGAGAGACACTTTGATCAGTCTCAATGCCACGTTGAATACGAGTCCAGGTGTGGTAGGAACCTGCGCCCCGGGATCCCCGCCTCACCGAGCATCGGAAGACGGATACTTCCGACGCCTTGTAGAAGGACACGGCCTAGTGGCCTTAAACACGTGGGTGTCGGGATCGGGCTTGACGTTCCACACCACAACCATGAAGTCCCAGGTTGAGTACATCCTGGTACCCAAAACGCTAGCTCGTGGCGATTCAAAGCAAAGCGAACTTCCCTTTAGGCAGGTGGAACAAAGGGAGGACACCTTCCTGTACAGGCCCAGATCCGACCAATGCGACACTGGCAACTTCCGCCTCCCCCTCCCCCCCCTTCCCCCTTTCGACAAGGCCGCCCTTGAAGAAGCCGTTCGATACGGTAGTGTTCCACTTGTGTTGCCTGTTCCGATGCCACTCTGGCCGACGCTGGCTTAACCGTTAATGGTTTTCAACTTTTGTTGGTTTGCCAAGTTGCTGCATCAATAGTGTCCTTGCAACTGTTGCGGTCTGTGCGAAAATTTCACATCGTTAAGTACAGCTCTGCAGCATGCAGATTCAAAAGAGGACATTCCTGATTGCAAAAACATTATTTAAGGCGCCTCGCACGCAAGAACTGTCCTTGGTGTTGTGCTACGTTTTCCCACACACGGATTACTTCAATGGCTTTTTGTCAAGATGCTCGCGTTTTAACCATTTCGGATCCTTTGCATGAGAGGAGCATGATTTTGGATCTAAAGTCAAGGCGCGTTGCAGTGTTTTTTCAGGGCTTGGGTCGTTCATGTTGAAGGCTCGGAACTCAATCCGAAGTTCCCGGCGTGCTTTTCACGACAGCATTGAGCCTTGAACATGGGGGCAACCCCCAAACACCCAAAGTTACGAGAAACCGCTGTTGCATCCGTGATCTTGACGACGCAGCTTGTTTTGTGAATCGGAGGGGGCGGTTCCACATCACCTGGAGGGGTGTAGAACGCAGGCTTTAGGGGTGTAGGCTTTTAGGACTTCTAAATTTGTTGAAAGGTAAGAGCCGTAGCGTTTCGTTTTAGTCATGAAACTGGCATGCTGCTCGGAAGCGGAGCCTGCGAAGCCAGAGAGGATACCGGCCGAACCTGTATCCTGGGCTGAATCCTAGGCCCTTAAACATCCTTGAAACTTGAAACACAGCACCCAACATCCTCAAACCCCAACCCGGCTCCCCAAACCCTGAGCTGTGAAACGCAAGAAATTCGGCGGTTGTGGTTGATTGGGTTTAGACGTCCCAACGAATGCCGGGCAAGACTCAGTTTTTGAAGCTTCAGGTTTCGAGAATGTTAATCTTGTTGTTTAGGGCCCAGGGTGTAGGATGGAGGATGGACCAAGGTCTAGGGTCGGGATTCGGTTTAGCTCAACCCCTAAACGGCCCTAAACGTTGGAGCTTAGGCTTTGGAAACTTCAGGCACCGTCAACCCAAAACCCCTAAATGGCCCTCGAAGTTCTCTACAGGCGGGTTTTGGCTTAGTTTTGAAGCCCCCATCTCTAAGCTCCAAAACGTGAATCCCAGGTCCAGCGAAGTGCTTTCGCTCCGGTGTTGGATGTGAAAATGACGGAAGAGTCGGCGAACAAGCAGGGGCCAAGCTTCTCACAGATCAGGCCGAGCCTCAGAAACCCCCAAACCCCCAACTTGGCCCAACTTCCTACCTGCAATTCTTACATTTTCGCATGTCCGGCACGCGCCAAACCCTAAACCCTAAACCCTGAGCACTAACACTCAACCCCAAACCCCAAACCCCAAACCTCAAACCCCACACCCCAAACCCCAAACCCCAAACCCCAAACCCTAAACCCAAATCCCTAAACCCTAAACCCTAAACCTTAAACCCTAAACCCCGAAGCCCTTATGGGAAGTTCATGGTGGGACCTGAAACCAGAACCCCTCAGGTTGTCGCTGTCGGGCTTGCATCTGCAGCAGGCGCTTTGGACCGATCTAACCTTTCTACTTGGAGGTTCATGGTACTTCGGTACCCAAGTATAACGGCACTTATCACCCAATTGTCACCTTAATTAGGTGGGTTGTAAGTACCCTGAAGCCAGACCCTGAGCTAAACACTGAACATGAAACACCTTGAGAAAAATGTCGTGAGATCTAGATCTCTACCTCAAACCCATCTTCAACCCAACTCTTTTCGGTCCCGTCTCAGCAGGAGCAGGCCTTAGCCATGACAGCGGCCCTGATCGAAGAAGTCGACTTGCTGCAGTTTGGGAGTTCCTTCCAGAAGCAGCTGCCGGCAGCTTGTTCGCAAAGGGCTTAGTTTAGCGCCTTCCCACAGGCATTTCTGTCATGTTCCACGAAGCTTTGGCTCTGTGCCGAAGGGACTGCGCCGACCCGAAATTGCCCGAAGCCATATACCTCGAACCCCAAGCCGGAAGACTGAAATCCCTGAGATACCAGAGGCCACGCCCTGATCCCCCGCCTTATCTTGTGGTGTGCTTGTGAGGGTTGAGGATGGGATCCAGCAGGTATCAAGGCAAATCTCATCTTCAAGCCATTTGCATACTACCTTAGGATCGACATGGTCCGAACAACCCCGCAACCTCTTGGTCTTAGCTACTTTTGGTTGTTCTCGCATTCCCATGAAAAAGGCAGGCTTCCTGTTTAGACAAGAAAAATGCTCATCTGCTCTGGGCCCCAGGACCCCCCTGTCCAGCACAAAGAGGCGCGTTTCGCAACAGCCGTCGTGTGGCATGAGTTGAGAGCTGGATTGCGGATGAGAATTTGAAGGGCTCCAGAAATCTGCGTGCAAACGCTTTTGGCGCTCACGGGACGGTTCAAGCCTGAAACCAGAATGTCGTTAAATTGCAGGTGGCTGCGGTTGTTGCCCGCATGCCGTTGGAGGAGCGCTTTTGGTTGGGGGGTGCTTTTTGTCTGGCTTGTAGTTCCCTGAGCATTGATGCCACTCCCCCTTCGTGTTGAATGTTTCGGGATTTTGTTTCAGAGGTTTGTTTTGGGTGTAGGATTTTGGGGGCCTAAGAACTGGAGTTCGGAACCCCCTTGAGCGAGGAGAAGGCTCCTGTTCCTTTGGCCACCTGGCTTGTTATGGGTCTTAAAGGGACCCCCAAAAACTGTATCCCTATTTTCGGCAACTCCTAAAAGCAGAAGGCCCCAGGATCAAGGAGAGGGCCGAGTTTCGGGAGGGTTTTTGCGGGTTTAGTGACGTTTAGGCTTGGCCCCCGTGCAATCTAAGCGCATTCTCAAGGCTTTCTGTCCCCAAGCGAACGAATTCCATGAATCCTGAGTGGTGGGCTTGCAAGGCTACCGCGCCGACGCCGAAGAAGCAGCCGGTCTTTCCGAGAATCTGTTTTTTTTCTTTGCCGTAGTTCTACCGGGCCTCGGGGCCTGCCCAACGTTTCCCAGGCGCTACAAGCCGCTCTTGCACGTAGAACCGCCTCAACCAGGCTGGGTCGCACTTTTCATGACAAAGGATTGCCGCCTGGCTTGTACTGACTTCCGCTGCACAACCAGCTATAAGCTCCCCAAAGCCACCATTGAAGACCCTGCATCCTACGCACCGCTTAATCCCGAAGTCGAGGCGCGGAGTTGGTTCTGGTGATGGGGCTTCCATCAGTATTCCACCCTTAGCTGAACAACCAAACTAGCAAGGCTACCGTGATACTGCCGTGGGTTTATTGTGGTTTCGCCGGGGTAGGGTTTTGGGTGTAGGGTTTAGGGTTTAGGGTTTAGGGATTTTAGGGTTTAGGGTTTAGGGTTTAGGGTCTAGGGTTAGGGTTGAGGGTTTAGGGTTTAGGGCCTAGGGTTTAGGGGTTAGGGGTTAGGGTTTAGGGTTTAGGGTTTGAGGGCGTCTTGCAGGCAAGTCCCGCAGTCGACTTGACTGGGATGGGGGATTCCGAGTGTACTTTCCGGCGCCACCAGGCTGCAACCTGGGGATGTTCCCCCTTCTTCTGTTGAAATGCTCCCCCTAGGGTTTAGGGTTTAGGGTTTCAGCAGCTTGTACTAACAGTCCTTCATAGGGATTATAGTACCTCCTATTACAATCCCTATTAAGGAATGTTCGTATAAGGGCGGCGGCCCGTAGAGATCTTACGTCCGAGGCCATGTGTTGAGCTTTACGGTCAAGGGTCCGGGGTGTTGACGGTGGATGAATATTCTTATTACTGTTATAAGTAGTATGCTATTCTCGTTTATCTTGTTATATTTATGATTATCATTGTTTCTATTATTCCTAGTGTTTTGTTACATTACCTTTTTTTTTGGTCCAAGCCCTCTCAAGCCCTCGGCCGCCCGCAGCCGCCCTCAGGCCGCAAGCCCGGTAAACTCCTTAAGGGACCCCACGCCCAGTCCCTTCGCATCTTGAAGCCTCCTCTTCGCATGCTCTGGCTCTTGGACTCCTCAGAAATTCTCCGGATTTGAGATCGAAGCGCCTCTCTGCAGGGTTTTTGCTTGTAGGTTGTTTTCCAGCAGCTTCCTCGAAGGCCAGCTTGCAATCAAACAGCGTTGCTGCTGTCATGTTGGCATGTTGTGTGTATATATATATATATATATATGTGTGTGTGTGTGTGTGTGTATGTCTGTGTGTGTGTGTGTGTGTGTGTGTGTGTGTATGTGTGTGCGTGTGTGTGTCTTTGTGTGTGTGTGTGTGTGTGTGTGTGTGTGTGTGTGTGTGCTAGTGCAATTTCTCCAGTCTTGTGATTGTTGTGGTTATGCGAGCCATATTTTTCTGGTTATTCTTACCGTCGCTTTTTCGTTTAAACCAAGGCTGTTGTTATTTTGTGTTGCTATGGTCATGACCAAGATTATGTTTGATTGCTGCAAACGTGTTATATGTGTTTCCGGGGATAGACGTACTGTCAAACTGCACCGAGAGCTTTGAACAAAGTCGCCACACAAAACATTAGCCCCAAACCTGAAACCATTCGTAGTAAAGTGTAAAGCCTGAACCCCCTGTGGAGTTGTACCTACGAGAAACCCCAAACTCAAAGACGACCTACTTGAAGGATCAGGGTCCTTACTAGTGAATTATAACTGTACTCATAAGCACTTATAAGCCCCTGAGGTGCCCAAATGATGGTTATAATTGGGTAAGAAGTACCATGAACCTTCAAGTACTCAACAAAAGCCGAGGCTGTGTTTGCGCATCGTGAGCAGTCGATGGTTTGACTACCTTATCGGATTCGTGATCTTGGTCAACTCACTGTTAGTCGGCTTCGAAGTTCAGATGAGCTTAGATGGCCTAGACGTGACCTGGATGCAGCCTCTGGACACCGGATTCATTGGGCTGTACTTTCTGGAGCTCTGCATGCGACTCGTGGGAATGGGTTGGCGGCAGTGCTTCTGCGATGGATGGTTTCTTTTAGATTTCACCCTGGCTGCCTGGCTGCAATCCCTGGTTCAGTGTAAAGCTCTCATTGCAAAGTTTCTTGGAGCGTCTACAGTCTCGAGGGTGGTTCTCGTGAAAGGGCTCTTTAAAGGATCTGCGAAGGCTCATGGAACCCCCATGGAAAAGACGTAAACCGAAGACTTCTCAAGGAATTCCTCGAACCCAAAAGGTCAGCCGATCTGTGGCTTGCCACCTTCAGCCCTGAAAATTAAGCACCGCCCACATGGGTGGTTGTCAGAATTATGATCCTTTTTGGGGTGCCCTAAAGATTAGGTGCATTATACTAGGTCTTACTAGGGACCCAATGAGGGACCGTAATTTTGACCACCACCCACATTGAGGTTTAGGCATAGGTTATCCGGTTCTCCAAGCCTTGGAAGACTCCAAAGCCAAGCCCAAAACACCCATGAGAAGTGCCGCAAGGTGGTCTTGGGCATCGTGACGGTCTTTGTGCTTCTGCTGCTTGGGCCGTGCAACCCCCCCAAACACCTTCAGGGTTGACTTAGGGTGCCTGAAGCACATCTCGAGCTCCGCGTGGGAGGAAGAGGTTGGCCTTCGCCGATCAAGTGCACACAGGCATGTCCGAACTCGGGCATCGATTTTCATGTAAGTGAATCTCATTCAGAGCATGTTTCAGGAGGGGCCCTAGAACCTCCTAAGAAGGATCCCAATAAGGGCCGAATAAGGCCCCCCCTGAGGGAGGCTTTTGGGGCTCGGGTCCGACCTCGCGACGTCCCATTTGGTGAGACAAGTCGCAAAAAGTACCGAAGAACAGGAGCCTCTAGACCAGCCTTCAGAAGTTTCAATCAAGATTTCCGTTCTCCAGATCAAAATTGGCGATGTGAAGGGCATTGGGCTCGGATGCCCACTTCACCCAACAGCCCTAAGCCTGAAGCCTCAAACCACCCCCCCCCCAAGTACACCCTACACCGCAACCTCCGAACTCCCTTGTACTTCCTTGCTCCCCACACCGAGACTCTAAACCCTCTAGACACCCCTCCCCCCCCCACTTCCCCTCGTTCTAAGTTCTACGTGCCCCCCTCCGCCCCTCCAAAACCCATAAACCCTACACCCGAAACCCTAAACCCCAAGCCGAAAAGAGCTCTCTCTCTCTCTCGCTCCCCCCTCTCTCTCCCTCTCTCTCTCTCTTCCTCTCTCTCTCTCTCCCCCCTCTCTCTCTCTCTCCCTCCCTCTCTCAGGTTCGGTTCCAGCGGGGATCTTGGCATCCTCGAGTCGGTTCTGGTGGTTCGCGCCATGCGGCTCCTGCGCCTCATCCGGGCGCTGCGGATGCTGAAGTACTTCCGCAGCTCGGGAGCTCGGAGGGCGAGGGGTTCTTCCGGGAGGAGGTGTCCTTTTGTTCATTTCTTGGAGGGGCTGAGGGGGGGGGGTTGGGTTCGGGTGTGGGGCTGCAGGGGTAGGTTTGGGGGTTTGGGGCTTCAGAGGTTTGGTGAGTTTAGGGGCGTTCGGATTGAGGCCTCGGGCTCGGCGTGGCACGAAGAACTTTGAACCCGAAATCCCAAGGCCCAGGCATCAACTCGAGTTTCGGTGTCAGAGGCGGGTAAGACCTCCTCCAAGGAACCGTCTGGAGACTGGTCTACGGGTTGCTGACGTCGCACAATGCCACCCGCACCGAAAACTGGACTGGGCTTCGACTCTGGGGGTTTACGAAAATCGGGGTGACAAAGTATTTTGGGGTGTAGAAGGGCTCCCCCTATTTACGGAAATCCCTCATATGGAGGAATCCGTGAGCTCATCTTGTGAACATAAACGTTTTCGGCAAACCCTGCGGCCCAGACCGCCAATGCGAAGCCTTTTCAGAGTTTTTGGGCTTCGGAGCTTTGTGGGATTTGGGGCTTCTGTCTTCACCGCCCTCCCAAACCCTAAGCCATAAACCCCAAACACCAGAAGCTCAACTCTGACGGTCCGAGGTTTGAGGTTCAGGGTCTTTTGATGGCTAGGCGGCCGAAAAAGCGGCCGAAAATGGCTTGAACCGCCTTACGCTCTCATCCATCCAGAGAGGCCATGTTCTCGACCCTTTCGCTGATCCTGCTGACGCTCTATGTGTTCGCCTGCTTGGGGGTGGACACTTGTCGAACGAAAAAAGTCGGTGGCCTTATAGCCTTAGCTTGGCAGCATCAGCCCATGAGTTGGAAGGGAAGCAGTGCAGGTTGTTTTCGGGGTTTTCGTGGCTAAGGGCGTCTCAAGATCCGAGAGCTCAGGAGTTGATCACCAAGGATGAGAACCTCTTGGGCATGGATGTGACTTCCGCTATCATCCAGGATCACTTCGTCTCAGTTTTCGTGTCAATGCTGACCTTGGTGCAGTTCGTTACCGTCGACTCAGCCACATCCTTAGCACATGGCCCCCTTTTGGGGGCGCCCTAGATGTAAGGGTTCCCTACTAGAGCTGGGCTCTCGGCGATAGGATTCCTGAACGCTACAGTCCTTCGGTGCTGGGGACATCTCAGTGTTCAACCTCCAAGCCCAAACCTCGTGTGTTGACGTGTAAACCGGTTGCCAGACCCATGTATGCCCACAGGGGCGCATGTAGGCCCATCAAGCCCGACCCTGAACTGCAAAGAGCCAAAGAGGGTCTCAGAAAGCGGCGCTTTGAGGTTGCCTGGCGGTTTGGGGCGGGGGGGCACATGGGAGGAGCGCGAGCGGTCACAAAATTCGTCGTCCTAAGCCTCACCGTGCATTGTAACTCTTGGATTCCTATAGTTATGGGGGCAAGAAATGCGAGCATTGCCAGCATCAAATCATAACTGATCAGAACCTTCAAAGCAAAAGCCCATAAAAGCCCCGAGGTTGCGATAGTTTACGTGCCGCTGATCAAGGAGAAGCCGATCTTAGCGGTCTACTTCTTCGTCGCACCCCCAGTGTTCGGTTTGGTGTATGGCTTTCCAGTTCCCTAGACAAAGCCTACTAAGCTCGCAATCCTGAGCTGCTGACACGTAAACATCTTGCGTCCTGAGCGTGTAGTCTGACGCTTCAGGAGATCGCGCAGAACCAGTAAGACGAAGCCAACCTGAAGCCCCCACGCACCTGTTCAGGCCATCATCTTGATTGTCTCGATTGCCCTCATGAACTTGGCTACTCTGCTGATTCTGATGTAGAGACGCCGGGTCGGAGCTCAAGAATCCAAAGCTAAAACCCTAAACCCTAAACCCTAAACTCCCTAAACCCTAAACCCTAAACCCTCAACCCTCAACCCTCAACCCTCAACCCTCAACCCTCAACCCTAAACCCTAAACCCTAAACCCTAAACCCTAGTCCTGAGTTGGCTTCGGGGTCAGCCTGGGGGTTCGGCTCGGTCGCCTCACTCGCAGGGTCTCCCGCGCAGCGCGTCCTTACCCCAAGAAGACAAGTGAGGGGGGTTTAGGGTTTAGGGTTTAGGGTTTAGGGTTTAGGGTTTAGGGTTTAGGGTTTGTTGGGGTTTAGGGTTTAGGGGGTGGTGGGCGGGTTCATGGACTGAGGGTTTTTACGGTACAGGGTGTCAGCCAGAATCGCAATGCCACCAGACAAGCATCGCAACGTTGCTGGGAAGCATCAAAACGATTCAAAACGTATCAAAACGTGAGTGTTCTCGCGGCCTCCCTCGTTCTTGGACCTGGACTTCTTTTTCTTGCCCATGCCTTGAACAAATCGGCCCCGAGACTTCATTGAAGAAGAGTTTGGAAGTGCTCTTGGACATTCTTTACGCTGGCAATCTCTCTCTCTCTCTCTGTTTTGGTATCTCTTTCTCTCTCTGTCTCTCTCTTTCTCTCTCTTTCTCTCTCTGTTTCTCTCTCTCTCTCTCTCTCTCTCTCTCTCTCTCTCTCTCTCTTTCTCTGCATACATAGATAGATCATCTCCCTAGTCACGACACAGCAACCCTGCAGTTTAAGATTAATCACCGCGAGGTCACCGCAGTTTTGGTGGAGGGGGCTCTCGAGAATGCTGCCCACGACCGAGAAGCAGAAAAAGTCAACTTGCAAGAGAAGTTGAAGGAAGCCGCTTCTTGCCTGAACAAAGCCCCCGCGTGCTGTTTGGGTGGAGGGTTGCGGTGAGAATCATGCCTCGGTAACCTGCACCCACGCAACGCCAAGAAGCCGATTTCATATCAAATCCGGCCTCCACCGCCTTTCCCCGTCGGAGGCACCGTGCCAGTACCAAGCTAGTATCATGTCGGGCGAGTTGGTTGAATCATGCGTAAGCGTGTGTAAGGCTTTCATAAATCGGGCAGGGTGGCGGACCCGCCCGTGCCTGTTATCTGCTGCCCGAACATGGGCTTTTCTCCACTGTTCGCAAGAATGTTCGCACCACGAACATTCGCAACCAATCTACGCAGGCACCCGTCTCACCTTTCCAATAGGGGTTGGGAGCTTCTTGAGCAGGATGAGAGGATGTCGTAGGTTCAATCCACTCAATTGACCCTAAACAAGCCTACTCAACCGTCTAACAGACATAGTGCGGCCTTGCCGGCAGCAGCCAGCCTTGAGTTTTTGGAAGTTCTGATGGCTTAACACGTACATGATATTTTAAAGCACGAATGTTTGGGGTTTTAATTACCCTTCCTCGGCAGGCCGTGGAGCACCCGAGAGAGCTCGCAAGACTTGAAACTGAAAACCTGGTATTCGATTGGGTTGTAAGTTACAGGGGCTCAGGTCAAGGGTCTCTTCGAGGCCTCGAGTTTTCGGCAAGAAGCGCCGCAACTTCCGAGGTCCCAAAGTTGAGAGAGGTCTTTGCCGCCATGGACGCGAACGGAGACGGCAACGTGACCATGGAGGACGGCGGATGCGTTTGGGGCAGGGTTTAGAAGACCCAGCATTTTGTGAGCAACTTTTGTTTTGTGATGGGCTTGGTAGGTTGAATCTGTGGGTGAAGGAAGGTTTGGGCTTTGGTTCATGATGTCAGTGTTGTATGACGTCTGTGTAGTTGCTCTGCGATGACAGTCGTGGCTCGCAGCGCCGTTCGAAGGCTTATGGTTCTCCTGGCTAAGTTCGTGTGCTGATTGAGCTTCCTGAATTCCTTCGCGCCAGCTTTGAAACCACAATACACCGAAGTCGCAAAACCCAAGCCTAGCCCGAACCCCCTGAAGCCTTGGACTCTAAACCCCAAAGCCAAAGCAAGAACGGCCTGAAGCACGAAACGAGCCCAACACAGGAGATAGAGGCTGTTCCCATGGACGTCATACCCAAAGAGTTCTTCGAGAAGAACAATGTCAGCAGCATGCAGGCCCACCTGTCGGGGACTTGGTAGAGGTGGAGGTGTAGAGATCTTGCAGTCATCTTTGTCCCTCCACTCCTCAAGCCTCCTCTTGAAGCCCTCGCTTATATATGTATAAATAAATGCATATATGACTAAATAGATTTACTTTTTTTTTGGGTTTTTGGGGCTCCGTAGTTCCTTCGCCTCAGGCTTTGCCAGGTTCTTGGTGTCGAAGAGTTTTTTGGTTGCAGGGTCTGGCCCTTTTTGAGGACCTTGTTTGGGGTTGCGAGAGTTTTGGATGTTTTGGAGTTTCTATATTACTTTTGTGTGTTTCCTGTTCTTGTTGTTTTTTGCCTTTTTTGGGGGTGGGGGGGGGGGTGGGGAGGGGGGGGTTTTGGGGTGTTTTAGGGCCTCCGAACAGGAGATCTTCGAAGTGTTGGATGTTGACGGCGGGGGAGAGCTCTCGCAAGAGGAGTTCGTCCGGTCCCCAGTGGGCTTCCCGTTGCGGTTTGAAGTTGGGCTCAGTTGTGAACCCGAACCCCTAAACCCTAAACCCTAAACCCTAAACCCTAAACCCTAAACCCTAAACCCTAAACCCTAAACCCTAAACCCTAAACCCTAAACCCTAACCCCGAAACCCTAACCCCTAAACCCTAAACCCTAAACCCTAAACCCTAAACCCTAAACCCTAAACCCTAAACCCTAAACCCTAAACCCTAAACCCTAAACCCTAAACCCTAAACCCTAAACCCTAAACCCTAAACCCTAAACCCTAAACCCTTAAACCTAAACCCTAAACCCTAAACCCTAAACCCTAAACCCTAAACCCTAAACCCTAAACCCTAAACCCTAAACCCTAAACCCTAAACCCTAAACCCTAAACCCTAAACCCTAAACCCTAAACCCCAAACCCTAAACCCTAAACCCTGAACCCCAGACAGCCTAGAATCCTTGCCTCCTCAGTCCGGCCGTTTGTTCTCTTCCGATCTGGGCTCCGCCGTATCCCAATGTGTCTGGGACGTTTTTCGAGCAGGCCCCTGCAATTCCTGAGCAGGTTTTGGGATCAAGGCGTTACGGGCGCTACGCGATAGCAGTAAAGCCCAAGTTGGCGACTGGCATGAGAGCCGTAGAAACCCTAACCCTAAACCCTAAAACCTAAACCCTAAACCCTAAGCCCCAAACCCTAAACCCTAAACCCTAAACCCTAAACCCTAAACCCTAAACCCTAAATCTGTTGGAGGCTTCGGCCCTCTGGGCTTCGGGGTTCAGGGTTCCATCATCCAGGTCGATGGCCTCCTTGACATCTTCTTCCGTGATGTGCCGCTCGAGACGCTCGGAAGCATCGGGCTGCGGAGGTACCCCTCAGCCCCCCAAACCTCCTCACCCTTAAGGGGGCCCCTGAAAAAAGCTACCTGACGGGCATTTGGAGCCTCGCCCCAGACCCTCTAAACCCCTGCTGAGCCGATGGCTCAGAGATCATTTCAGGGCCCAACCCTTAAAAGCAGCTTTGCTCCCGGACCTACAGGAGCACTGCAAGAGAGCCGTAGAGGGCCTGGGGGCCTGCGACTTGCGCAGCCTTACGCCCTGTTTCTTCAGGACCGTCCAGACGCTGAAGATGCTCCGCATGATGGAGTGCAGGCTGCAAGTCCTCAAAGACACCGTCGACGTTGTGCAGCAGAAGGTTTTGGTGCTCCGTGCCTGCTTCGGGGAGATCGTCGAGCCCGAATAATGTTGACTTCGCATTAATAAACCCCCCCCCCCCTTGATTGATCAATCTCTCCGGCCAGGGCCTCCTCAATTATATTCGCCTAAATCCTGGTAGGTCTAGCTGTCCCGGTGCCACCACAGTGGGCTAAGTGAGCCTCTACTGCGAGCCTGTGGGGGATCACTTTTAGAAAAATATTCCGGGCTGGATTTTATAATTGTGGGGGGGTTACATTATTGTGTTCCGGCAGCTGGATTTTATAATTGTAGCGGGAATCATTAATGTGAAGTCAACATTAGTCTACACCGTGCTTGAGTTTTTGTTGGGCTGATACAAGCAGCAACAAGTAAAGCTGCAAGGCTGTTTGGGTTGTTGTTGCAGAAGGATGGAGGGCTTTTGTGGTGTGTGGGACGAAAGTGTTGTACTTCTGTGTCATCTCCATCTCACCAACGCAGATTCAGTTTCTGGCATGTGGACGTGCTTCAGAAGCTCCAAAGGGATCCTGCTATTTGGGGGTCTCTATTAGGGCCCCCTTATGTTCGTAAACCAAAACCCTCTCAGGCGACATGGTCGCCCCACCCATAGCTTTCGTTGACTTTGGCTCTCCCGCCCTCCGCTCCCGATGCCGGTGTCTGCTGTTACTGCAGCACGCACGCACACCACGCACGCACACGCACACGCCCACGCACACGCACACGCCCACGCACGCGCACGCGCACGCACACGCACACGCACACGCACACGCACACGCACGCACGCACGCACGCACGCACGCCCGCCCGCGCACGCACGCACGCACGCACGCACGCACGCACGCACACGCACGCACGCACGCACGCACGCACGCACGCACGCACGCACACACACACACACACACACACACACACACACACACACGCTGCTGCCAGTTTCACGCGACAACCTGAGCCGGATGCAAAGTGAACTGCGAGTCACTCTATACCTATATATATATATATATATATATTCATATATATATATATGCATCACAGTTTATGGTGTTGGCTTTGGAGATCCAATGGGTCCTTTGCTTCCTGACAATGTCTCGCCGGTATGTCAACCGCTATAGAAATGCGATTAGAAGAACCTATTGAAACACAACAGAGAAACACCGTTCGAAACCTTTTGAAGCACGAACGGCAAACGTTTTCGAGACACGAATTGAAGACCCCTATATAAATAATCACGACAAAATCTTATACTATTGACATGCGCTATGTACACTGTAAACCTGAAAGAAATATGACTAGCAAACCTATAGAAGAACGTTTAGCAAGCCCTACAGGAACACGATTTAGGAAAATCGATTAGAAAACTTGATAGAAACACGCCAACCCTACAGACATACGATTTCAATCAGTATAAAGACACGATTAGAACACTTGCTGAAATACATGATTGGAGCCACTAGACAAACTCGATTGGGGAACACCATGGAAACATGGTTAGAAAACACGAGAGTGGAAACACAGTCTAGAACACACGATTTGCAAGCATTGAAACACTAGAAGGGCGGTTTCAATACGCTGCAAACACACCGCTTGGAGGCGTCATAAGAAAGCCTGATAGAAGCACGATTATCATGATGGAGACGCACGCGTAGAAAGCACTATAGAAGCACATTTCAAAAACACCTGCAGAAACACGGTCGAACATGCTTGAAACCCATGCAGAACCACGATAAGAAAACACGATAGAAACACGAGTAGCATTATAGATTCTATAGACGTAGAAGCAGGGTTCGAAGAGACAACTGGAAACGACAACGGAGAACTTCACAGAAACCAATGTTAGGAACGTCTGATAAAGACGATCATCAGACACCAAAGGCTCATGATTAGCAAGCTCTATAGAAACAAGTTGGAAGATCCTGCAGAAACACGATTGGCAATTGAAACGCGGTTCATTAAACCTATAAAAACACGGGCAGAACATCGTATGGAAAAATGCTTAGAAAGCACTTTGGAAATTCAGGGTTTGACGCACTTCGGCGCACCTCCGACTGTTTGAATTGATGTGTTGCACACACTCAGCCGTTTCACGGCACTGAATCGCTGCCAAGAGTCTGACACGGCACGGTCCTTGAGCTGAAGCTTGCAACCCCGGGTCCGAAACGCCTCAGAAGTTACGTCCCATGTCGTGACAAAAATGTTAGTAGACAAATGAGGAAAAAGCGTGTTGAACTCTTGTTTCATAGATCTTACAGACGTTCGACGCCCTATGCTGTTCTGCGTTCGGGCTAGGCTGTTTTGTGTGGGCGACACGCAAATGGTAAGCAAAAGTTTGTTCTTTTTTGCAATGGTTATCTTGGGATGTTCCCCCATATGCTAACAGTCCTTGGTGGGGTTTACAATATGGGGGGTACTAGAATCCCAATTAAGGACTGTTAGTATAAGGGGTAACATCCCAAATGTTTCTCAAAGTGTCATGCCATAAACAAGAAAGAATTCAGCGTTGGCTGTCAGCACTCTGTGGCAACGGGAAGGGATGCGCCTCCCCGAGCCCCATGCCGGAAGAAAAACAAGCAAACCGCCAGCCACGATTGTGGCATTTTGCTGCAGTCTTAGCTGCCGAATTGTAGGAAAGACGGCACAATTTCATGGTGAATACTATGTGCCATGTTCTTAAGATCTCGATACCAAAACAAACAACAGCAGAACACGTGGAAAACAAACGGGAACTAGTACGAAGAGAGCTCAGCGTCCCAGTCAGTCCCGAGGCGCAGCATCGTTTGCTGGATTTTGCTGGGTATGTGCATGAATTCGAGCAGTGCTTTTTGTTACTGTACCATGTCAATTTAGGGTTTAGGGTTTAGGGTATTCTTTACCTCTTGCTTGTGCATAGTGTGTTGGGTGGCAATGCAACCCAGGCACCCTGACACCCCAAAAACCAAGCGCCCCAACCCCGAATCATCAACGCCAGCCCCTGGATGTTCCTCCTCATACTTCTAGAATCCTCAGTAGGGATTCTAGTACCCCCTAGAATCATCCCTATGAAGGACTGGAACATCCCTAAACCCTAAACCCTACATCCTAAGCCCTACAGTAAACCCTAAACCCTAAACCCTAAACCCCAAACCCCAAACCCTAAACCCTAAACCCGAAACCCTAAACCGCGAACCTTGAACCTTGAGCAGCGCGAGCCAGGCCGTGGGTCCATCTCCTGCCGCGGAGGCGCGCTGTTGGGGGGAGCGGGGGGGGGGGGGGGGCTTGCGAAAAGCGGGGTACCGATTTTGGGGGTTCCTACGTAAGTTTAGGGCTTAGGGCTTAGGGGTTTAGAGTTGAGGGTTTAGGGTTTTTTAGAGTTTAGGGTTTCAGGGTTTCAGGGTTTCAGGGTTTAGGGTTTAGGGTTGGGGGTTTAGGGTTTAGGGTTCCTATATTAAGGATTCTACTATTTGGGCGTATATCCCTATTGGGGGACATGCCCTTATGCCAAGAGTGAGCCTCCTGCCATTTTCAGGGTTTTGCGTTCGGGTCCGAGAGTTTTGGGGTTTAGGGGCCTTTCGGCGCCAAACAACAGCCCGAGGCCCTCGACTGGTTTAGGGGTTCGAAGAGAAGCGGGTTCCTAGTACCGTTTTTGGCGGTATGCGGATCTCGTTTTTGGATTGAAGGCTCGGCTATTCAGGGATCAGACCACCTCAGATGCGAAAGACCTGAAGCCCTACACTTCGATGCCCCCCAAAATCAGGGGACCAAAGGAGGGACCCTTGTCAGGGACCTTAGGGGTTCTTTGGGGGGGTAGTTAGGGGCTGAAGCCCCTTAACTTAAGCCCCAAAATCCCCAATCCCCTGAGAAAGCAAACAGCTCCCCCCCAAAGCCAAACCAGGCAGTCTCAGGCACCCCAAGGCTTAGGGTTAGCGGTTTCGGGTTTAGGGTTCAGGGTGTGGCGCATTTAGCGCATGAGGGTTTCGGGGGAATTATGGCTTGGCAGTCTTGGGGTGAATGCCCATAGCTCCAGGCTCAAAACCCGCATCGCTAGACAGATTATGACACATGCACCCGATCGCCAGGATAAGGCTGGGAGGCCTTCCGATGGCTTCCGAAAGCTACTGACTTAGTGTTCTCGACGATGAAGCGCGCTCTCGCGCTCGTGCCGAGGCTTTGATCCCTTTGCTGGGGCTCTAGAGTACTCACCGCGAGCCCCGTCAGCCTGCCAGTCTACACCAAACCATGGGGCAACCTCAACCCCCACCAGATTCCATTTTAAACCCCTCAGCTCCAGATGCAGCTTGACACCGAAAACCCCAACCTGTCGGATTTGGTGCTCTTTGCTTGGGGGCCTGGGAGGTTTTCAAGGGGGTCCGGAAAGCCCCCCCGCAAACCTTAGCAGCCCTCTGAGCCAAGGCGTGAAAGCCGCGCTGTGCTGCCAAACCGCAGCCGCAGCGCACGGTAATGCCTGGGGAAGTCACGGGGTCTGATGTTGCATTCCGCAGAAGTCCCCTTGCCTCCTTAAAGGCTTTAAAAGGGTTCTGAAGTGTGGGCCCTTGGGCTCAGGCAAAGATCGACTCCCTGAGGCCTACCCCAACCCCCTGCAAGGATGAGAGGATGGGTTAAACACCACAGGCATCCCCGATGAAAGCCCCAGTACATGCCAGCTTTTGCGGGCCTGTTCTCCAACTTTGCCCAACGTTTTAGTCGACGGCCTCAGATTCGAGGGCTGCCATTATTCCCTTTTGGGTTTCGGGATGTGTGGGCTGGAAAGTAGATGCCTTCAGAGTGCTGACCTTCTCCAAGGCGATTTCGGGTCTAGGGCTTCGGGATTGTGGCCAGAGGTCGGGCAAAGGGGGCAGGTCCCCGCTAGAGGCATTTCCTCCAGCAATCGTTTGGAGCGGAATCTGTGAGCTGCAGCTGTCCTAACTCCCGACCCCAACAATTTGCTGGTGCATCTTGCATCCGACGCCTGTCGCTGCGATGGTACCTTCTATTTCGGACAGATGCAGTGCACACGGCATGCACCACGAGGTTTCGATGGCTAAGCCCTGCAACCCCAAGGCAGAGCTCCAAATCTGGCAGACCTCAAACCTTTCAGCCCCTCGAAAGCCCGTTGCCTCACACTACATTGCACAGGGAGGGACTCCGAAGGATTTCCTTCCCCAGCGCTCGACCCTCAAACCTTCTGGGCGGTGCTCTGGCAAAATGAAGGGTCACATGGGGGGTTTCCGACATTAGGGGGACCTTATTTGGGATCCTTATTATTAGGGGATCTTACAATTGGGGGTCTCCATATAAAGGGTCCCCTATTTTCGTAAACCCCCATATTCAGAGACTCAGGGTCGGAGGGGAGATTTAGTCTGTTCGGGCCAATTCGCATCACAGCCAACATTGCATCCCACAGTGGCCCCCTGCAGCCTTAAAGTTACAATTTTTTCGGGCAGGTTTGGGTTTGGGCTTTGTAAATGCCTGCGTGCACGGCGTCGGCAACCGCGTTTGGCCCGACGCAGGGTGCAGCGAGGCCAACTCTGATGGATTTAGGGTGGTCCCAGGAGGGTTTCAGCGGGCTCGCAGACCCAGGTGTGAGGGTCGGCGTTTCCGAGCGTGGGCCACGGGGGTCCCAGGGCGGGTCCACAAATGACAAAACGAACAAAGCTGTGGATCCGAACCCGACAAAACCGAACGTAAAACCAAAATGGCGTTCGAGGTGGCGTCTAACTGATCAGTACCTTTTGCTTTGGCACGCCTCTGTCCACAAGTTTTGGGCCGGGGTCGGGAAGGGGGAAGGTCTGCTTGTTCTAGACGCCTCCGGCCGAGGCGAATCTCTAGCATTTTGGTGTTTGGACTTTGGAGTTCATTGTTGTCCAGGGCCCCATCCATCACCTGGCAGCTGTGTTGGCTGGTATGTGCATGCATGGGCATTTCATATCATATCAAGGACCAGCTAGCTATGTTCAACTCAACACTCTCGGAGGCTCAGAAGCGAAAAAGACACCGGATTGTGCTTACCTTGTGACAGAAAGATTTTTTTGTCGGGTTTGTTGGTTGCTTTGATTTCGTGGTGCTTGGCTTTGGCCATGGCATCGGTGGTCCAAGTGCCGAGACTCGACGGATCGGTGCTGGGTGCCCTTGAGAAGGTCGGCTTCGCCTCCTCCATCGCCTCCTCCGTCGCTGCGCCCCCACACCGGGCACCCCGGGCACCCCGGCCACTCCGGGCACCGGGACAAGGCCGCAGCCTGGCCGCTTCCTCGCTGCTGGCGGCAGCCGGCCTCTCTGCCTGCCGGCTTCGTCGGAGCTTGCGCTGCGGGAGCTGCGGGCGCCAGGCCTCCCCACGCGTGGCCGTGGTGGGCGCTGGGCCCGCCGGCCTGGCAGCCGCTCTGGCGCTCCGCAAGGAGGCAGGGCTGGATGACATCACCGTGCTCGAGCGCTCGCCTGAGCTAAGGCGTGAACCGCTGCGATGCTGTTTAGGGCCCCCGCTGGCTTTCAGGAGTGCGGCTTCAAGAAGCCCATAGCCCCAAGCATCCCCAAGCCCTACATTCCAAGTTCAGGCTTTTAGGCTTGTGTCTTATGGGGCTCGGGGGGTTTTAGGTTGACAGCTTCGCCTTCTCGAAAGAGCCAAAAGCCAACAGCAATGGGAGGCCTGGAGTCGGTGGTGGTGTGCAGCTTCACTCCGGAGCTGCCTTGCTGGAACCTCTGCCCGCCTTTGGGGGGGGCTTTAGGGCTTTAGGGATCCCGAACCTCAAGCGCCGAGCTTGAGGGCTGCGGCCCTAGCATGTGCTGTAGTTGTGCTGTGGTTGTGCTGTGGTTGTGCTGTGGTTGTGCTGTGATCCTTGCATTCGAAAATCATGACTCCTGAGCTTGAGGAACCCGTGGCCCGAAAAGTCCGAGGTTTCGCGCGTGACGCGGAGAATCCCGTGAACCCCGAAGCATGAATGTTGATCCGATGAATATGTAGATAAATTTGTTATGTTCCTCTCAAAGTACATAGAGAGAAAAAAAGTCGAGGAGAACGCGGAGATTTTCCTGTGTAAACATAGAGAAAACCGACGTTTTCCTATGTAAATACAGAAAAAGAGCGGGGTTTTCCCTGCAAATATAGAGGAGTAGAGGTTCTCCCATATAACTATAGAAAAGGCTTTCTTATGGAAATGTAGAGAAAACAGAGGTTTTCCTATGGAAATACAGAGAACCCGCACCAAACAAAAAGTTTCCCCCGCAAAAACCCAAAAACAAATCTCCAAAAACAAAGACCTCCCACCCATGTCTAACCGTCCAGCCACTGTTGTCTTCAGGATGTGCGCATGGGAGTCCTGGACACTGAGCTGTCTAGACCCTCGCTTGAACCTCTCAAGCTTTGCAATCCTAAGCAGTTCCCGCAACCCGAGGAGGAGCTGGGAGTGGACCTCAGCTTCGCTCAGCCGCTGCGGCGCATCCGGAGCCACGGGGGTCAGAGTTTGGGGAGGGTTTTGAATGAGGGCGCTCTCCTAGGTCTTCCTACTGGTGGGCTGTGATCTGGGCGATGCTTCTTCTATCTTCTTCTGCCAGCGTCGACATCTCTTCTCTGTGTTGTTAAGCGCGGCTGTGCGAGCGGGGCTGCCAGCCCCATGCAAGCCCCGTTTAGTTTCCATATGGCTCACGTCTGGCAAAAGACATCAAGAAGCCAAAGCCCGAAACCCCCCACAGAAGCCCTACCCTAAACCCATTATCCGGAACCGGACAAGTCCGCAAGCAGAGGCTGGGTCACAAAGGAGGAGTTCTTGCACATCCTACACTTTAGGGGGTTGTGAGGGTTTTGAGTTCAAGAAGACCCGCTCTGTCTGAGCCAAGTCCACCCCACTTGCTGTGGTTTGGCCTTCACCAAAACTTCAAGTAATCTTGGGGTCGGAATAGTTACGAATAGTATTCCCTTATGGTCCCTTTGTATATTCCCTTATGGTCCCTTTGTAACTATACTACAATAGCCCCAATTATTCAGGCCCCTATTTATTGTGGTTGCTCAGCTCAAGCTACGAGCTCCGTGTGAGAGGAGCCGCTCCGCCAGTGGTGATGAGCTGCTGCAGCTGGATCTCCCGAACCTGCTCGCATTTTGACCGAAGTCCAAGAGGGTTTAGGGTTTAGGGTTCAGGGTTTAGGGTTTAGGGTTTTGGGTTTAGGGTTGAGGGTTCAGGGTTCAGGGTTTAGGGTTTAGGGTTTATAGGGAGGGCTGAGAAGGGGTCTAGGGTCTTGTAAGGCTTGGAGAGCTCTTGGTCCTAGGCCAGAGACAGAAAGCACTGAGACGCTTTACATGAATCCTGAAGCACTGAAGCCCTCATGGTTCCAAGGTTTCAGGTTTCGGGGTTTAGGTTGTCGAGGGCATAAGTACAGTGGAGTTGCCATGCATGAGCTTCGAAGCTTCTAGTTAATTTAGAATCCCTAAGCCCGAGGTCAGCGAGAGACTTCGCAGATACGTTCCAGCCTTCAAGTAGACCCCTTAGTTCGCAGTCCTACAGCCCACAGCGCAAGCCCCGAACCGTGCGAAGCTTCGAGGACACATTTGAAGCGTTTTCGGGCTCCGTACGGCGATCCGATGGCCAACCCGCCAGCTGCACCGCTCTTTGGAAAGCATATGAGGTTTTCCGAGAATAGAGGGGTGTCCTTTTTGGGGTCCCTTTTAGGGGATTCTAGTCTTTTTGGGGGGTAAAAGGGGTACCCCTATTTTGGAAAATGCCCATCTAAAGCAAGGGCCGTTTATAGGGGTTTGAGGATTTGAGGCCCTGGTGGCGTCCGGGGGGTTTAGGCTGAAGGCTTCTGTTTTTGGGGTTTAGAGTGCTTTTCATTGACCAGAAGCGGGCTCCAGGATGGGTCTGAACCCGAAACCTTGAATCCTCCAACTTACTGTCGGTTGAATCAGGGACCCTATACATACCCTTTAAGGGATTATAAAAAGAGCACCTCATTCCCCCATTCCTTAGTACCCGTAAGCCAAGTGCCCTAGGTGATGCGGGACGCGCTGCTGGAGGCCATGGCCAAGTCCCTGCCTTCGGGCAGCATTCGCCTGGGGAGGAAGCTGCTGGACGTGCAGATGAACCTTGGAGTTCACGAAGTCGGAGCCCCCCTTTATGGGGAACGTTTATCGTATCCTAGTACACCCCCCCACCTTCCCTCTAAGTCTAGCACAGCCCGCACTGAAGTGTTTCCGGTTGGTAGGGGGCCTAGCTTCTAGAGCTTAGCGGTTTAAGACGTCGGGTTGAGGGTCTCTTCGGCGTGCTCGGAACCCTGAGGCCGCTTAGCACCGCAACGCCTGAACCGAGTTGAGTCGAGCCCTCCGACTCTCCGACTCGAAACGCTCCCCCAACCATCAGCCAAACTTAACACCCTCCTTTCAAGTATCGTAAGCTTTACTGAGCTCTTCAAGTACAGGGAAGCCTTAGACTTAGACAGCTTCAGGAGCCCGGGCGGGCAGTCTGCGACGCTCGATTGAAGATGGGGCAGTGGGTGAGCTGCTCTTGTGTCATTTTGGAGGGGGAGTAGTTCTTGGGCTCGGGGGAAGTGGTTCAGATCTTAGGTGGGTTGGGCTTCGACCCTACAGCCTGGGCCTGAACCTCATGGGAACGGGCTTCAGGGTTTCAAAGTTCGGCGCTTGGGTGCCCGCCCCAGTCCTTGCAAAGCCTAAACTTGCCGAAGCTTCTGTCACATCCCCGAGGACCTGCCGCTTTGAAGCCGGACAAGAGGCAAACGGGCTTCAGGGCTAAGCCCGAAATTTTAGAGGGGTGGGGTGTTTGGGCTTGAGGGTTTGAGGGTTTGAGGGTTTGAGGGTTCGAGGGTTCGAGGGTTCGAGGGTTCGAGGGTTCGAGGGTTCGAGGGTTCGGGGGTTCCAGGGTTTGAGGGTTTGAGGGTTTGAGGGCTTCGGTTTAAGGGGTTCACGGTTTACGGTAAAGGGTCTGGAGTCTAGGGTTTGAAGTCTGGAGGTTCAGTAGGGTTTCAGGGATACGTCACATGTTCGACGCACACCACCACACGGGACAAACAAGTGTGGTGATGTGTGTGCCAAGACTCGCGTGCCCCGCCTAACCCGAACACCCAATGTATGCTTGGGTTTTGGGTTTTCATTCGGAGGAGAAACCCCTCTCCTCTTGGAGCATCTGGGGCCAAAGACCTTTACAGAACGGGGTCCTGGAAGCTGCAAATCCTAAAGAAGCCACGGTGCCGCATCGGACCCGAGCGGTCGAAGAGGCCCAGGCTCCGAAGCACCGAGGGGCCACCGTAGCACCATGTAGGATTGACCGCAAAGTATCGATTCCAGACGCCGCTGCATGTTTCTAGAGGGCAAGGTCGAAACCTATTGGGCTTCGGAGCAAAATATTTGTACTCTTGGGAGGGCCGAACAGAAAAAGTAACAACTCTAACAAAGCTGGAAAAAGCCAACTCCCAAAAAGCCAAATTCAAAGTACGACAACAAAAACAAGCATTATCCGAATCTCTGCGAAAGTTTTGCGAAAGCTTTGGGTCTACAACCCAAGGCTCCCGGAAAGTTGCGCTTTTGGGGAGAATGTGTACGGTTTTGCTGGAATTGTTATAATTACCTTGTTTTTTTGTGTTGTTTTCTGGCTTTGGTATCCCAGGTCCCCATTCTCCCACGAGTATTCTTGGGTATCGTTTTGGTATTGGCTTTTTTGGTGAAATCTTCCGCGCACCATCATCGGTGTGGCTTTCGTATCATGGGAATGGAAGAGATATCCGCTCCCCGCAACCTTCATTTAATGGGTTATTTCCAGAAGAAAGATTCAAAATAATTCCCCTCAAAGTCCAAATTCACCCGTCTTCCCCCAAATCCTATCGAGTTATGTGATTCAGAGCATGAACAATCACAAGATATCTGCGCGTGGATAGTCTCGTTTGCTCACGGGCTTCGTCTAATGGATACTATTGAAGAAGAACACTAAAATTCATCGTTTGAGAGGTTTCCTGTCTTTGTTGCTTGGCAGCTTTATATTGTATCAAAAGTATTAGGCGTCTTTATATTGTATTAAAAGTATTATTTATATACATACGTGTATGATGTGGGTAGTTATTCCGTCTCTTTTCTTGTATTTCTGTAGGCTTGTTGGGTTGGCTTTCGCCGGGACGCTGCCTTTTGTTTGGTCTAACTTGGGGGTATCACCTGACGAGTGCTTTGTTGGATTCAGAAAAAGGGCTTGTGAAACGACAGGAAGGGTACTGGTTCAAACAACCCTCGCTTGGTTGTGTTGGCCATGGTTGGCCCGATACAAACGTTCTAGCAAAGGTTCCGGGCTTTGAAAAGATGATTGGCTTTTGCTTGGTTTCAGCGCGGCCCTCCTGTAATCTCGGTTTTGGGGGGAGAAGCCAGAAAACGCGACGCGCAAATTTCGGGAGCCGCGCGGTTTCCGGACTCCAGTCTCCCGACTCCAGACTCCGGACCGATTCCGAATCCGGGAAATCCCGGGCCTCCCCCTAATGCGAACGGAGTGAGTGGGGTGGGCCCAAAAGCAACAACCACCGCAATCCAGACCCCAAAAAGCCCCAAAAGTCTCCCAAACCAGTCAATCCTTGCAGCTAGATACGTGGCGGTCAACTAGGGGGTTTGATGGCATTGGGCTCGGACTCCGTATTTTCCGCCCAGCTTTACTGACCTCGCGTGCATCGGAGTGTCTGGGTGCGGCTCCCTGGCTTTTGCTGACCGTCCTAAAGCGTAAACCCGGCAGCCCTAAATCCTAAATCTTAATCCCTGCGCCCACCCCAAACCACAGGATTTCGACCTCGTCGTCGCTGCCGATGGTATCGGCAGCAGTGCGCGACGCTTTGTACTTGACGAGGGCGACCAGGAGGAGGCGCCTCGGTACACAGGCCTGGCTCGAGTGGGGGCAAGCAGCTCGGGCTTAGGCCCCTAGGCCGTAAGCCTGCCTCAAACGAGCCGTATGCCGCTTCGTCCCGGGCCCTGGGGCCAAAAGGCCCGAAGTCTCAACCCAAAAGAACCCAACGACCGAGAGCGTAAACCCTAAACTCGAACTTTGTTCCATCAGTGGAAGTCCTCCCCTGGGCATTTCGTCAGGGAGAGGGCTCAGAAGGTTTGGGGGGCTTTAGGTTGTTTGTTGCCATGCTTTAGGTTTCAGGCGTTGTTTGGAGGACCTGGGCTGTACGTACCTAAGCTGCCCCTGAGGTCTTCGCATCCAGTACGGCGTCAGGGAGGCCGGTGGACGGCCTGCCGGGTGTGAGGAGGAAGCACACCAATGGTTCGGCCAAGGCTGCCCGTTACCCCAAACCCGAAGCTCTGCACCTCGCTCTTGTGGTAAAACCCATGGGACTTGCAGAGCACCTTCAGCTTTCAAGGGGATACTTGCGTTTTAGGGCGTTTCCAGCCTCGACCTAGAGGGTTGCCAGGCAGCATGGTGCCACCACCCTGACCACCCAAGTCTTGAATGTTGTTGGTGTTCTCCGGTGTTATTCTTGGGCCCCAAACAACTCTCTCAGAAAGCCCAAATGTCGGCCTCAGCCACGAAAGTGGCTCGGCGTTGTTCTTATCCACCACTCGATGAGGGGTGTTCCTCAGGGTTTGGGGCCCATTTGAGTTCCGACTTCGGCACTGCAGCAGAGCTATTCCCAGGTTATCCCCACATTCATTCCCCATTTTGGCCATCTTAAACCGTAAAGCTTGAACAGTTACCACAAAAGGACAGAGACCGAATCTGTCTGTAACAAATGCAGAAGACAGAGCTTCAGGCTGAGTTCACTTGCTTTCAAGGCAGTGGATCCCGTTGCACGGACCCACTGGAAGAACCCTAGAAGGGGGCCCAATCACAGCTCGTTCTGAGTTTCGGATCGGGTCCCCTCCCCCCCCCCCGAAGCTCGGTCGATTTTGACATTCTGAGCCCTAAGCTGCCGAGAGCCCACCGAGCTTGGGCGGTTTGGGCGGGCAGGCGTGTATGCACTCACCGCCACCTACGGTGGCCTCGGCGGCAAGCGCTTTGAGATGATGGCGGTGGTCTTCAGGCCCTTCGAGTCGGAAATCCCTCACACTCCTAAGCCCTCTGTAATTCAAGTTCAGGGCTTAGCATCGTAGCTCTTGCTGCAGAAGCCCCAACCCCGAGACCCCCTGAACTTGAGTCTCAGGGAAGATGCCCCGGCGGCAGAGAATGCTGACTGGGATCCCGTGGAGATCAAGGAGAAGAAAAGAAGCCTTCGGGCGATGTTGTTAACCTTAATCAAGCCCCGCAACCTGGACCCGGAGCATCCCCAAGCCCGAAGCCCTACTAAACCCTTCCTTTTCCCAAGTTTCAGGCCAAGCCCCCCCGCTGTTGGACCCAATTGCAAAAGCTTCGTTCCACAGCACGAAATCGTCCCACGCCTTGCAAGCTAAGCTCCAAAAGCCTTCTGGGTCACGGCGTAAGAACTTGGGTTCTTAAGCCCTGGTTTCGCAGTCCGAGAAGTTGGAATTCTAGCGACTACAGGGAAGTTCCGTTCGCCCCCTTCCAGAAACATCACCCTGAGCTCAACACGCCAACATGAGAAGACATTAAAGTACCCATCGTAAGAATGAGAGGAATCACTATCCTAGTAGCTACAGCCCTAAACCCTAAACCCTAACCCCTAAGCCCGAAACCCTAAACCCTAAGCCCGAAACCCTAAACCCTAAACCCTAAACCCTAAACCCTAAGCCCTAAGCCCTATAAACCCTAAACCCTACGTAAATGCCAGGACAGCTGTTTGCAGAGACTGCGCGAAGCTGGGCATCCCGCGGAAGTGATGGAGGAGACCCAAGGGGGGGGACAGGAATGAAGCCTTAAGAAGCCGGAGTCCTTGAACTCCCCATAGGCCCAGACCTTGAAAAAGAAGCATAAACCCTAAACCCTGAACCCTGAACCCTGAACCCTAAACCCTAAACCCTAAACCCTAAACCCTAAACCTTCAACAAACCGAGCCCCACAGCTTCAGTAAGCCAAAGTCAGCCATAATCAGCTACCCTGAAACGGACCATTACGGAACGCCACCCCCAGCACCAAAGCTCCCAACCTCACTGGGCCGGGGCAAGGTCGCTGAGGGCTGCTCGCGTTTCTTCGAGCTGGGCGTGTTCGAGAGGCCTTTCAAGGTTCCAGAACCCTAAACCCTAACCCTAAACCCTAAACCCTAAACCCTAAACCCTAAACCCTAAACCCTAAACCCTAAACCCTAAACCCTAAACCCTAAACCCTAAATCAGAGTTGGGTTCAGTGGGTACGCGGCTGAAGGGAGGGAGTTGATTTGGACATCCTGCCCTTTTTGGAGATTGGGTTTGGGGCCTCGGGGTTCAAGTTGGGATTTCTGTTGGGATTTTGCGTTTAGGGTTGAGGCTTCCCAGCCCCAGTCCTATAAACAAAAAAGCACCCCCTGTCACCTTGGGCTGTTTGGCACGGAGGCCGGTGGGACTGAGCAACTGGCACCGCGATCGGGTGGTTCTGCTGGGCGACTCCGCACATGCGATGCCGCCGTTCCTGGGGCAGGGCGCGAACCAGGTGCCCCGAAGTCCTGAAGTCCATGGTTTAGGGCCTTGAGGGCTTAGGGTTTAGGGCTTAGGGTTTAGGGTTTAGGGACCGGCAATGGGCATTGGGCCCAGGAATTGGCCACGCGGGTTTTGGCCTGAGCGGAATTAGTGCAAGAAGGGGCTTGGGTGTTGGGCGCAGGCATTGCAGGCCCCATTGCTCCATGACTGGTCGACCCTGCCCAGGATTGTGTTGCTAATTATTGCAATTTCTAGCTATTTTCATTTTTTGGCGGGGGCGGGGGCGGATCACCACGGAACGGTTCACGGCAAGTTGATGGGGTCAGCATTGGATCTTCCACTTATATGGGGTTCTATCTACAGTTATATAGGGTGTACAAGGGGGGTGGGGCGGTGTGTGTTGGCTCAGCGCCGAAACGATCGGACATTAACGTGGGTAGACTGCCCATTCAGGAGAACCGCCGCGCCCGGAGCTTTCCTGCCCCGAAGCCCCCCCACCTCCGAACCCCGCCATCTGCGCAACAGGCCATCCAGGATGCTGTCTGCTTGGCACGCAGCTGCGATGCAACAGAGGGATATTGAAGAGGCACTGGGAGAGAGTAGAAATCCTCAAGCCCGAGGCCCGTACTCTCAACCCCGCTCAATCCAAGAAGCCGTATCCCCAAAACCCTCAGCCCTACACCCTAAGCCCTATAAGCCCTAAGCCCCAAGCCCCAAGCTCCAAGCCCTACAGTCAGCCCTAAACCCTAAACCCTACCTTCTAAACCCCCCCTTCACATCCAGGGTTTCTAAAGAGAAGGCTGGCTGCGCCGCGTCAACTTCGCCGACGCGGCCTCGGAAGGTGCCCTGCAGGCTGCCCTGCCGCTCGGCCCATGATTGGGGTTTAGGGTCTAGGGTTTAGGGTTTAGGGTGTAGGGTGTAGGGTTTAGGGTTTAGGGACACGAGCAGCGCCTGCTGAGTCTCCGCGCAGGACAATTCCGTATCCTCTCAAGAGAGCCAAGCCCGAACTCGCCTTTTGTTCACATCCCCGTGCCGCCTCAAGAAACCCGGTCCGAGGTTGCGGCGTCTTTCCCGAACGTAATCGCGGCACGGCCCTGACCCAAAAATGTGCTCCCGAGTTCTCTCGTCGCAAGGGCTCACTTCCGAAGCCCTGAGACTTCCTTAAATCGTGAGCCAGGGGCCTCGAGACCTGGAACCCTAAACCCTAAACCCTAAACCTAAACCCTAAACCCTAAACCCTAAACCCGAAACCCCAAACCTGAGTCCTCGAATGCCAAAGCCCCTGCAGTCAAAGCCCTTTCAAGGCTTACGCCATCTTGGTCTTACGCCCTAAGTCCTAAACCTTAAGGTTAAGGCATGCTGAAGTAGATAGCATATTTGAAACCCCCCCAAAAAAAACAAACCCCCTTTGCCGAAACGAACATTTCCAATTTCCAAAACGATAGATAGAATTGTTTCCCATGGGCCAAGACAAGCACCCAGACGTGGCTGCTGAGAGCAGTGGGTTGGCAGGAACTGACTGCTGAGAGAAATGGGCTGGCAGGAGGGGCGTGGGGTTCCGGAAACAGCCCTACACGCAGTTACAATTTTTCTATGGATGCCTGAACAGAGGCTCTTGAAGAATCTTTACGACCCAGGGCCCAGGGCTAGAAGAGTGGAGGTTTTACCGGTGAAGCGCCCCTGTCGTTGCATTCTATTTCACCTGCCGAGCCTTCTAAAGGACTGTGGAAGGCTCTGGAGGCTGCTACTTAAGAGGACAAAGGCACGCCCAGGACGAGAGTCCCCAAATTCGCCAAGAGGCCAGCAGGAGGCCCTCTTACCCGCTGCCAAAAGCTGTCTTAAACATGATCCCGCAAAGATTCTATGTATGGGTTCCTCAAATATTCTATGTATGGGTTCGAAGATTCTACGTATGGTTTCCCCGAAAAAACCCCGCAAAAACAGAAATCTAATTTTTTTGTATTCAAGGATGACATTAAAATCAACACCTTAAAGCCTGAACCCGAAATCCCAAAGCGAAAGCCTTTAGTTTGAGTTTAGGGTTAGGGTTCCCTAAGCCTTAGACTCGAAACCTGAGACTCCTAGACCCAGACAAGCATCCACAGGCTGGGCTACACGGCGCAGCGCTTGCCTCCAGTGGTCCCCTTGATGGCATTGCGAGCAGGATCAGATTTCAGGGGTTAGGGGTTCGGGTTTCAGGTTTAGGTGTGTGGCCACGGTTTTTGGAGCCAAAGAACACCCTGCCTCTCACAACCCGAATTCCGAAACCATAAATGGCATGCCATGTTTCAATCCAGGCTTCAACCTGAAGCCCAAAACCCCAAATCGCCACACAAGTTCGGTTCAGGGCGTCCTTTGGTTTAACGTCTTGGGGCCTCCAGGACGCAGAAACCTGCCCAGTAGCGCAACCCACGCTTCTTTCTCGAGCTGCTCGCAAAAGAAGCCGGACATGCAGGCACCCAGGAATGTGTTTGAACTCTGAGGTCTGGATTAAGGCTGCTGCTTCTACCGTTTACGTTCACTGTGGACTCACTGTACCCTGCCCTTTACACCGGAGGAGCTCATGAGAGCTTAAGGCAAGTTGAGGGTAGACCCTTGCGCCTGAAGCCGAAACCCGAAACCTCGAAGAACACCTGGCCCAACTGCATCGGTACGTGGGACGCTCGAACTGAGGCCGTGCTGGGCATCGAAAGCAGCTTCCTTGGTCAAGTGGAGATGCTTGACAACCTTGGACAGCTCCCCAAAGCCCTGAAACCCAGACCTCTCCGCGAAACCCTCCCTGACACCGCAGAGCCTCTGAATCCCAAAAACAGTGCGGCCTGAGAGGTTTTGTCGTCGTCCAGAAGCGGCCTTAGGGGCAACAAGCACCCCTAAACACTAAACAGCAAGTTCCGACAAGCCGAAGCTCTGAACCCTCAACCCTGAAACTCCACAGCCCAAACCGAGGACTCTGCCCGGTGATCTGGGCGGGCTGGTGAGGGAGAATTTCTTCCGGCTCACGGCCGGGACCGGCGTTGCAGGCAGAACCTCTAGAGTGTCAGAAGTTGAGCCGGGCTTCAGAAGATGGGTCTCGCAAGTCCTGGAGGGCGAAGTTCGGAGTCCATCGCTGAACTGTCAGGTCTGGTGTTTCTCAACGGCGCGATTGCGAGAGTCTGATGCTGCTCGGGGAACCTAGCCTTGGCTCTCCGTATCCGCAGCCGTGCCCCCTGAGAAGGCTACTCGTTTGTTGCATAGCTTCTTTTTGTCCTTAAAGACTTTTGGGGCTCCCTTTCCCCCTAAGCCTTCCTTATCCGAAGATTTCGCAGCCCTAGGCTCGACGGAACACGCACAACTCATAGGAGAATCATCGGAGGTTTATATATTGTCTTCGAACAGTTTTCCGGCAGATCCCACGGAGACAGCCGACTATGTCTTCGGGCCTCAGTGAACCCTTGCCTAGCTCTGCTCTCCCGTTTCGATCTGTAAGAACAAGCCCGTAAACCCTAAGCCACACTGACGGCAAGAGGGAGGGTATTTCTTCTGCTGGGTTCCAAGGGAAATAAGGGAATCCAAAAGGAACTGCTCGTGTGGCCAGGCCAAAGGACGCAGCCCCGGTCTCCAGGAGCAAGGGGTGCTGCGAGCACGCCCCACGCCTTGACTGTGAAAATGGGTTTAGCGCTTAGGGTGTAGGGGTTTAGGGTTCAGGGTTTAGGGTGCACCGCTCTGAAACGTGTGCTATGACTGCTGTGGTGGGTTGGGGCATGGGGCTGCAAGCAAACAGAGGGGATATGCTTGGATCAAGGCTGGAAGTTTCAGTTGCGATTTAGGTCCCTTGTCACGTGTTTCCGTGTAATGTGCATGACTGACAAGGGTAGCAAGAAAGGGCCCTCGAGATGGAAGCTGTACGAAGGGTGCAGCATGCCCGAACTTACATCCTGAAACTTTGAGGCTTCAGCAAGAAGGCTTGCTTCTTGTGGCCTGTCGGGTTAAACGGTGAAGGTTTCAAGTATCAATGCTAGTGCGCAGGGCAGGTGGACTTGGGGGTGGCACTTTGAAGCCGCATTAGAAGCCTAAAGCCTTGGAGTTCGTGAGTGTGTGCGTGGACAGAAATTCTTGTATTCTTGTGACATTAAAACTCAGTGCTTCTTTTAGCTTCTGCTCTGGCCACTAAGGTGAGGGAAAGACGCCGACCTTTTCCTATGACTGTGAGCACCCGTTCTTAAAAAAGTCAACGCTCTGCCAGTGTGGTTTGAAGCGTTGAAGCACAGGGATGTCGCGTAAAGTCGCTTCTCAGGAGCGCATGTGCAGCAGAGTCCGCACGGGCCACGGTGAACCGATGTTCCGATTTCCCCGATCCCCCATAGCTTGCATGCAGTAGCATGACGTAGCCACTGCGCTAGAATTTCGAAATCCTCTTGGCACAGCCGGCACTCGACGACGGGAAGCGTGGAGAGAATGCACGTCACGGCGGTTGCAACGATCAATTGCGTATGTTTCTGCGCATCTTCATCAGTTGCTTGAGGAAGGCGTGCAGCTTGCAAAGTCGCAGGGTGCCGATTGTACACTTTGCATGTCACAGCGGGTTGGCGGATGCTTCGCCGCGCGCTGGAGGCTTCCCACCAGTAGTAGGCGGACTCCTGCGGTACCACAAGCGGACCGTGTTTCGTCAGTAGTGAAAAGTATTTGGGATAGTGCTGCTTTTTGTGGGCACTTCAGTGCGCAGATAGCAATCAGCCTTCAGAGTTTCAGCCTTGATCAAGGCACTTTCAGTGCAGCCTACACAGGCAGAGCTTGAGGCCTGGATGCAGTCCAAAAGATCGTCGCCATCTTTGCAGCTTTTGTAGCTGCTGTAGGCATAGGTGGGAAGTCTGGTGTGGCTTCCAGAGCTGTGGTTTCAAGCACCCTCGTCGCCATCTCTGCTAGCCATTTTGCAGGGAGCTCTAGTCCTATTCCGCCACAGCTGGGGTAAGTGCGGAAGCGCCGGATGTAAGTGCGGTCGTGGTAGCGCCTGCAAACTCCGATACGCACTTCGTTCCCCACCAACTCCCGCACATGGAGCCGGGCGCACTCCAACTTGTGCGCGACCTGGTGAGGATCCGGGCACATCGCACCACTCGCGTTGCGACAAGCCCGCTTCTGCGTGGGTGGCTGTGGCAAGCCTGTCCGGGTCAGCAGGGAGACCAGCGTGGCGCCCCAGCACAACACCCTGCCCAGCGGTGTCACGCCATAGATCACTGGGTCCAAGCGGCACCTGTCAGCGGGGGTGCGCGCGGAGGGCCAATCCAGGCCCGCGCAGCGAGCGAGGAGGCCGCCTCGCGGGCACGCCAGGGCGTGGTCCCCGTCCACCTGCGCCCCACCTGCATGGCTCGAGGAGCGGTGTTTGCGCTGCTGCTGTGAGGTACCCTCCTGCCCTTCGCACTCGCCGGCTGCATACGGGGACTGCCCGCCCACCTCGGACCCGAGAACCACCAGCTTCTGAGGCCCGCCCGCTCCCAGCTTCGGGTACGCATCATGCTTGCGTCGCTCCGCGGCCCACAGGACAACGCCGTCAGTCACAGCTGGTGGGGCCAGCTCGCAGTCTCGGCCGGCATCCGCCCAAAGCCAGCCGCTGCACTGATGGCGCATTCTGCGCATTACAAGACGCCTTGGAGGATCGTGAGACAACAAATCAACCCGCCGCGCCAGCTCCTGCGGCGTGACGCGCGTCTGACCGTGCTCGCGGTATAACCACATACGCGGCGCTAGGAGAAATCATTTCCATCCACTTTCTGATCTGGCGCCTCTTGTACGAGCTCCGTTTTAACGCCGCAGTGAGGTCCGACGAAAAAGACCCCCGTTTGCTGGGGCTCGGGACGGCGTGGTGACAACCGGTGCGCTGGTCCCCGCTTGGAACCCCCGCGTGAGCAGGGGCGTGCGAGCAGGGGCGTGCGCACGTCGGCACCCCTTCCTTTTCCTTTGCCGCGTGCCCTCCTGCCTCGGCCATTCGCGCGGCCTATGTCGGCCTCCGCCGGCAGCATCCAGGGCCTGCCCGAAACAGTCTGCAGCGCGCTTGGGGGGCTCGGGTGTGAATCGGTGCGCCGTTACGATGGGAAACCGCGAGTGCAGCGATTTTGCTGGTGAGAAGATTTGCAACAGGAACGTGTGTTTTTTGTTCGGCCGGCTCTTTTCCTTTTCCTGTTTTTTGCTTGGCCAGCCGCGTCCCGAACAAAAAAACGCCCAGAGTTTTTTTGCTCGGCCAGCCGCGTCCGGAACAAAAAAATGCTCCTGGACGAAGGCCGACACGACCCCCGGCCCGCAAGTGAGTGAGTGACGAGAGCCGATAAAATCAAAATTCATAGGAATCCTATGAACATGACTAGGAATCCTATTGAAAAAACTATCCGAATCCTGTGCAAAATTATTTGGGTAGCGTTCAAAATTCGCGTGTCTGCTCAGTTACTTTAATTTACCTTAATGGGGTCGGTCTTTTTTCATGTCTTTGCCATGAGGCGTCACCGAGGGAGTTCTGCTAAAACCGCATTGTGGCGCTAGGAGAACGCTAGGTTCGCGGTAGGTAAAATCAACAAACGATATTTCGCATGTCACCACTAAGCGAACCCAACAGAGATTGATTGAGAAGGCCCAGGCGCACCACCCGAAATATGCGTACAACTTCTGGGGTTGTGTAAAAACCCCGCGCCTCTTCGTTATGAATTGGCGGGGCCCCTGTTGCCAGGATAGAGGTTTTTCTAGGAAAAACGATGACAAGAAAGAACTGATAATGTTGTTCCATTTGGTACATTTGCTGCTACTGGCTTGTTAAGGCTTGTTTGTCGTCCATCACGTAGTGTCAGAGATCTTGGAAAATCCGGCACAGTGTTTTGCGCTAGCGCCGCGCTAGCACGGCGCTAGCAAAGTGTCGGCGCAACCTCCCCCGGCAGACCATGGCGCCTTCCTCCTCGAGCAGACCGCACCGACTAACACCATGGGGCTCGAGCTCGAGCCCCACGCCAGCAGTAGCAGTAACGCTAGCAGTTCTTGTGACGACTCGTCCGACAGCAGCGCCTGAAAAATGGTCCGCGTTAGCACCCTTTCTAGGAAATCGTGCTTGGATCCTTCAATGGTCGCGTTTGCTACTCCATCCCAATCAGCTTCTTTTTTTTCGGGACGTCGCCGAGGGAGTTCCGCATTGAGGTCAATTTCGGGAACAAGCATTTTGACAACAACCCATTTGGAATCCTAATAAGACTAAGAATTCTTTCAAAATTAATAGAAACCCTATTCATTTTAGTAGCCGCAGCAGCCGCAGCAGCCGCAGCAGCCGCAGCAGCCGCAGCAGCCGCAGCAGCCGCAGCAGCCGCAGCAGCCGCAGCAGCCGCAGCAGCCGCAGCCGCAGCAGCCGCAGCAGCCGCAGCAGCCGCAGCAGCCGCAGCAGCCGCAGCTGCAGCAGCCGCAGCAGCCGCAGCAGCCGCAGCAGCCGCAGCAGCCGCAAGAGAGCAGACCCCCCGCGAGTAAAAAGGTGCGTGAGACAAAAATAAAAACGTCTACTATTAAAATCAACGATTTTCCTCCTTCATTCGTGAGCTCTCTTGTCACCTGCTATTTCGCCCAGTTCCCAGGGAGTTACAGTTTCTAGGCTTCGAGTTCAGCGGCTTCCTGTTGCACGCATAGAGTCCAAGAGATGATGGTTCTGGATTTGGGCTTATAGTTCCAGGTTTGGGGGCCGGCACCTGCAGCACACGCAAACCCATTCTACTAATCGTGTAGGACTTGCAATGCGACTAATTAGGGGATTGGCGTGTCCGCATTTTGCGGCAAGCCAGTGCTGGGGATTCGTGATTCAAAGGTATACCCACAGCCTAACCAGTCGCAGGAATCGACTCCAAAAACGCGAGGCTCTTTTTGCACGCGCAAAACGCAGGCAAACTTCGAACAGCTTTTGCTTTTGGCTAGTTCAACACTCTGATCCCTTTGCTGTCAAACATAGGCTCCTCTTCTTCGGGATCGAAGAGTTCGCTCTGAACATCCTCGCCTTCCGAACGCACTAGCGAAAGCAGCTGAGGCGATTCTTCACACGCAGCTGAGGCGATTCTTCACACGCAGAAGGCACCAGAACATAAGCGAGCGGCGCACTTGCCACTACGCTTCGGTGGCTTAGGGATGCTACTGTGAGAGCTGAAACTGCACTCTGATGCATT